CCCTCCCCCTCGCCACACCCTTCCCCCTCCCCCACCCCCCCCACACCCCCACCTCCCCCCTCCTCCTCCCCCACCTCCCCCCTCCTCCTCCCCCCTCCCCCTCCCCCACCCCCCTTCCCTTCTCGGGCACCTTTCCTATCTCAGGGCGTTCCTGTGCGCATCGAGATTGGCCCGCGTGACGTGGCGGCCAATACGGTCGTGACAGCGAGGCGCGACCGCCCGGGGAAGCAGGGGAAGCAGTTTGGGGTGTCGATGGGCGGCGACGGGCGGGAGCTGGTGTCTCATGTGCAGGCGCTGCTGCAGGAGGTGCAGGATGGCATGCTGGCAGATGCAGTGGCGTTCAGAGATAGCCATATAGTGGAGGTGGCATCGTATGAAGAATTGAAAGAAGCTATTGCAAACAGCAAGTGGGCGCGTGGGCCCTGGGTCGGCAGGTGAGAGCGGTGGGGTGGGGTGGGGATGGGTGGGGATAGGTGGGGTGCGGTGCTGGCGGGGTGGGGAGGTGAGGGGAGAGGTGGGGTGCGGTGCTGGCAGATGCTGTGCAGGCGCTGCTGCAGGAGGTGCAGGATGGCATGCTGGCAGATGCAGTGGCATTCAGAGACAGCCATATTGTGGAGGTGGCGAGTTATGATGAGCTGAAGGCTGCCATTGCCAGCAGCAAGTGGGCGCGTGGGCCCTGGGCCGGCAGGTGAGAGCGGTGGGGTGGGTGGGGTGCAGTGGGGTGGAATGGGGTGAGGTGCAGGATGGCCTGCTGGCGGATGCAGTGGCGTTCAGGGATAGCCATATTGTGGAGGTGGCGAGTTATGAGGAATTGAAAGAAGCTATTGCCAGCAGCAAGTGGGCGCGTGGGCCCTGGGCCGGCAGGTGAGAGCGGTGGAGTGGGGTGGGGTGGGGTGGGGTGTGGTGGGTTGGGAGGAGGGATGGGAGGTGGGGAGGGAGGATATGGGAACTGGTGTTTCATGTGCAGGCGCTGCTGCAGGAGGTGCAGGATGGCATGCTGGCAGATGCAGTGGCGTTTCGGGATAGCCATACTGTTGAGGTGGCGAGTTATGAGTTATGAAGGCAGCCATTGCCAGCAGCAAGTGGGCGCGCGAGCCCTGGGCCGGCAGGTGAGAGGGGTGGGGAGGTGTGGGGTGCGGTGAGGTGCGGTGCTGGCGGATGCAGTGGCATTCAGAGACAGCCATATTGTGGAGGTGGCGAGTTATGACGAGCTGAAGGCAGCCATTGCCAGCAGCAAGTGGGCGCGCGGGCCCTGGGCCGGCAGGTGAGGGGGTGGGGTGGGAAGCGGAGGGATGGGGTGGGGTGGGGTGGGGTGGGAGTGGGGTGGGGTGGGATGGGGGCAAAGTGGCATGCTGGCAGATGCAGTGGCGTTTAGGGATGGCGATATTGTGGAGGTGGCATCGTATGAGGAGCTGAAGGCCCTGGGCCGGGAGGTGAGAGCGGTGGGAGGGGTGAGTTGAGGTGGGGGGGTGAGGGTGCTACACTGCTACTGTCATGTTTTTGTCTATAAAGACTTCCTGCTTTTGTGTCCTATACTGCATGCTCCAGCAATGTGGATGCGAAGCGGCTGAAGGGGGAGACGGGAGCCACCCTGCGCTGCCGATAATTGGGGGGGGGGGAAATAATCATTTCTTGTTTTTTTGTACATGTGTATTGCATGTGGCAGTAACGAGGACGAGCAGCGGGTGAAGGAGGAGACGGGGGCCACCCTGCGCTGCTTCCCATTCGAGCCGAAGCTGTCTGATGCCACGTGCTTCTTTACTGGGAAACCTGCCACTGAGCGGGCAATTTTCTCTCGTGCCTACTGACCTTTTTTCGAATAAAGCTCTACACATTGCAGTCAATGCAAGGTTGAGAGTCTAGTTATGGTAGAGTCTGGGAGGGAAGTGTCAGGGCTGTTGTTTTCAAAACTGGGTGTGGGTGACAACTGGAATTTGTTGGGAAATGTGCCAATGAGAAACCAATAAAATATGTACTAATACGACAACAGCTGAAGGTGTAAACCTCAGCACAACTGGATATATTATGCAACCCAACCTAAGCATAATCTAAAAAGCATGGCCAGCTGTAATTAAACTTCCGTAATTGCTCTAATGACTTGTTGCGTCATTCATTTGCGAAACCCCGAACGGACGAAAGCAGCAAAGGCAGCACGGAATGGAATGGAGGATCACGCGTGGGATGCTTCGCGGTTGTGGGCCCAACCTGGAGTCCATTTAGCACGTGACAAATCTGGTCAACTACCGATATCTCAGCCGTATCCGATTCCATTCCGTTGGCACATGACGTCACTCGGCGTGACAGCATTTTGGACGAGATCGGGCAGCTGAAGACATCTCTAAAGCCAGTGTTTGGCAGTTCAACTGTACCCACTGTACACTTTCTCTAGTCCAAACCGCTTTTCAGTTTCTGCCTTTCATCCAGCCAGTTGTACTGCAGGATTTGATGCATACCCTTGGCCAGCTTGTCCATCAGGGAAAGCTGCTTGGCTTTACGGAAACATACAAGGACACCTCTTGCAGCTTTTTGCAACGAACAAGTCCTTCATCATCATGTGGTCCCACTTGTCTTGATCGATGGAGTCCACAGGTAATATGTCGGTTGTGTCCAAAGCCTCAACTGACGAGACTTTTTGCTGGCATCTTGAATTTTGTTAGGGAAAGAACGAAACGGGCCCGAAATCGCGGGAAACATTCGAGCACTTGTGTGCTCTCATTCCATCACTGCTTTGCAACATTTCCCTGCTGTTCGTTGCTGTCGCGAAACATTGCAGCAGCTCACCTGGCAAATGGAACCTGGTCCAAATTTTTGAAGGGGATGCAGTAGCCCTGAGAAATGGGAAATCGCCCTGTGCTAGAATCACGCGGGCGAGTAGCCCCGAAAGGTTCCAAGAAAAGCACTGGAAAACAGTTCAAACTACAGTTCCTTTGCTACAGAAATGGGAATGAACTGAGGGACCGTGCAGCGCCTTTTCCAACACCTGATGTGATTGATCCTCAATGACACCCCAACAGACCAACGAGCTCGTGGTGGATTGACTGACCGATTCAACAGAGCGCAATTTGATTTGAGTTGTTTGATGTTGCACGTATGCTAGGGAGGGGGCTGGAGACAATTTTTTGTTGATTGAGTCTGAACCGAGAGCTAACTGCAGTGGACAAGGATACAGTTGTGAGGCTGTTGGTTGAGAAGCAATGCCCTGCTGCTGCTGCTGCTATGTGACGTGGCTCCCAGCTTTGCAGTTCCACGCGATTGTCCTGACGCTTGGCCAATGTTGGGGAGACACGGTAGCTCTATATGAAACCGCAAACTGTACTGCACCCGAAAAAATATCACTTCCTTTTTTGTGCACACACCCTTCCGCAACCTGAAAAATGACTGGAATTCCGTGCCGCGAGTAATGTGCGAGAATTACGGAGCGCAAATGCCTACAAATCGCAATCGGATTCCCTCACCAGACACGACACGGCCTCAGTCGTTTCTGCTCAACTCTCAGCAAAGCACAAGTGTATCACGGCAGAATGGTCGCAATGGATTCGATTAAATCGGATACCATATCCACACGGCACAAAGCACAGAAAGGTCACTTTGAGTAATTCTGGGTCGCTTCTAGTTTAGTATTGCGCCCAGTCCAGGCCAGGAGGAGGTGGAGTACGAAAGTAAATGTATGCTGGGAGCTGTACCTTCTACACACGCTTAGCAAACTGCTTCACAAACCTGTAATGGAAGACACTTTATCTTTATCAGTGAAGGTAGGGGTATTTAAAACTACTACCAACAATTGCGAAGGTCATCTCGGCAATTAGTGCCCAGCAAATGTCCATAATCTTGGCTTGACTGAGGGTGACATACCCGAAATCAAGGGCCCTTCTGCGGCATCTCGACTTCCACCCATCCAGAAGCCTCCAGCCCACGCTTTTCACAAACGGCTCTCGTCCTGGCAGGCATAGCGTGGTTCGATCGAAACAACATAATCAGGCCTCGACTTACCTCTTCCAGCTCTCAGCAGATTTGCGTATCCTCGTTGCTTGCTTCCGTAGACTTCCGCCATTCCGGCGTGATTGTTTCCACAGTCATCCACCCTGGGGGTGATTGTAGTATGAGCAAGCCCAGCTCAGCAAGAGCGACCCGAATAATCTCGAATCCAAGTCCAAGTCGAGATCGTCGAAGCTTAGTGCACGACCATATCGAGACGGAATTGTTGAGAATGCTCCACCGCGACGGACGCGACGGCGGCGGCGGCGGAGGCGGAAATAGCTCCGCCGGCGACGAGCAAACGCAGCGCCCGTCCGTTGATCTTAGTACTAGCGCCGCTGGGCTAAACCATCCTCAGGAATTTAAAGAGCCTTACGGAGAGCTTCGCGTGAAGCCGTCGCAGTCGTCGCCGCCGGCCGACCGCAAGGGACTAGTAAAAGCAGAGCGCGACAGCGAAGACGACCGCGACGACGGCGACGTGAAATTCAATCGACGACATTCGGAGCCATCGCGTCGCATTTCATCATCGGCATCGTAAGTTTCCGCGCCGCAGTACCAACAATTGTCAACGCAATTTCAGTTTGAAATCATAATCGCGATGCGTTTTTTGCGACCGCCGTTCAAAATCAACGTCCTCCGTGCCTATGTTACTCGGAAAACCTCCTCACATATGATACTCTCCGTGCTATCCCCTGGTCAGATTGAAATCTCGGAAGAAACGATCTTCGCCGGAAATGGCGTCGCCAAGCGCGGCGACGCGAGGATGCATCGACATCAACTCAAGCCCAGCGAAGAAGAGTCCAACCAAGCGACGACGCGTCGGCGCGAGCGGTCGCGCTTCATCCACAGCCGCCACGGCCCATCATGCTAGCAGGGCCGCTTCATTCGCCGCCGCATCAGCCGCCGTAGCCGCCCCCGCAGCCGCCCCCGCCGCGTCTAAAGGAGCAGGACAGACGTCGTCTCAGCTGTCAGACTTGATCAGGCGTCTGCCTTCGCCCACTCGCGAAAGTCGCTGGACTTTTGAGATGAATGCGCAGTTGCAAAGGGAGTTGCACATTCACACCACCAGCCCTGCTGCTATTGCCACAACCGCTACTGCTGCAGTCGCCACCAATACTGCTGCCGCTCCTGCCGCTGCTGCTGCTGCTGCTGCTGCTGCTGCTGCTGCTGGAGGTGGTTTGGATGCAGCAGCGATAGCTGAAGCCATTATGCGGCAACGAGGGATGGCAACAGTGGCTCAGCGCTTTGCACACCCTGAGTCCGAGGCTCGGACTCAGAGGTTTGGATCCGAGGCTCACTCTCAGAGGTTAGGTTGGCACGAGGCTTCTGAGAGGTTTGGAAGGCCCGAGGCTCACACTCACAGGCCCGGGTCCGAGACTTTGAATCGGAGTCTGTACGAGGCAGCAGCAGCATTGGGAGCAGAAGGAGCAGCAGCAGAAGGGAGCAGGAGTAGCCTGAGTGGGCAATGCAAACTATCAGCATCACATGCTGGAGCATCAGGAGCAGCAGCAACGGCAGCAGCAACGGCTGCTGCTGCTGCTACCACCCGCATCAGTACAATCAGTAGAGCGCTTGGTTCCCTCAAGGTCCGTCGAAGCACCAGCGCCACTGCTCCTGTTGCCACTGCTCCTGCTACTGCTACTGCTCCTGCTCCTGCTACTGCCGCTCGTTCTGCTGCTACTACTACTCCTACTGCTACCACCACCACGGCCTCAGCAACAGAGCGCCACCCGCTGGCCCAATCCCGACCTAACGTGCTTGCCCGAGCAGCAGCAGCGGCAAGCATAGCTCTCCCCAACTTCTCCCTCCTTTCCTCAATCATGGCTGCCGCTGCTGCATCCACAGCAGCATCCACAGCAGCATCAACAGCAGCAGCAAAAGCAGCAGCAGCAGGAACAGATCCTCCTTTCCACGCATTCCCACGCGCACACACAGCGCCTCCTCTTCGCAGCAACCTGGGTGCACCATCGTCCTTTTCCCCAGGCGCTTTCCCCACCTCTGGGGCAAGCCTCTTCCCTGCATCCTCCAGTGTGCCTGGCGCCAGGCCTGGTAACCACGGTCCCGAGCCTGCAGGCTCGGCGAGCCTCGCAGGCTATCCAGCAAGACGACCCAGCCCATCTGTTGCTGGGGTGGGAGGAGCTTCGGCCGGAGCAGCTGCAGGTGCAGAAGCTCGAGCAGGTTCGGCCGGAGCAGCAGCAGGAGGAGCAGGTTTGGCAAGAGCAGGCTCCGCCGGAGCAGGTTCGGCCGGAGCAGCGGCAGGAGGAGTGGCTTCTACAGGTGGCAACAACAGCAGCAGCAACAACGGCAACAATGACGGCATTGGCATGACGGTGGAGAGTTTGCCAGTGCTGCGAGTGACTTCAGACAGCAGTCGCATGGTGGTGCCCCGCAGTGCATGGGCGCAGGGGCTGGTGGTTGACCACATGCTGGGCCGAGGACCCATGGCTGCTGCTCCTTCACTCCATGATGCTGCTGCTGCTGCTGCTGCTGCTGCTGCTGCTGCTGCTGCTGCTGCTGCTGCTGCTGCTGCTGCTGATGCTGCTGCTGCTGCTGCTGCTGCTTCTGCCTCTGCCACAAGTGCATGGGCTCAGGGGCTGGTGGTTGACCACATGCTGGGCCGAGGTCCCATGGCTGCTGCGCCTTCCATCCACGATGCCGCTGCTGCTCATGCTGCTCCTGCCTCTGCCGCCAGTGCATGGGCTCAGGGGCTGGTGGTTGATCACATGCTGGGGCGTGGAGCAGTGACTGCTGCCCCTTCCATCCATGATGCCGCCCCTGGTGCTGTAGCTGATGCAGCTGCCGCCGCTGCTGTTCCTGCTGCTGCTCCTGCCGCTGCTGCTCATGCAGCTGATGCTTCTTCTTCTGCTGCTGCTTTTGCTGCTGCTGCTGCTGCTGCTGTTGCTGCTTCTTCTTCTTCTCCTCCTGCGCCTCCATCTCATCTTGCCCCCTCTGCTTTCCCGCTCAACACACTGCCCTTCTCCACAACCCAAGTCTTTCCACCCGCTCTGCTCGCACACATGCACCTTCTCGCCTTGCAGACAGGCCACCACATGCACCTTCGCGCCTTGCAGGCAGGGCAACACACGCTCCTAGGATTCTCCCCTTTCCTTGACGCTTCTCCTTTGGGTTTTCTTGGGCCCAGCACAGCTGCGCTACAGCCAGCGGGAGCTGGCACTGCGGGAGAAATGGCAGCCGCTACAGCCGGTCCGTTTACGGCTGCTGCTTGGGCCCGCATTGGGCAAAGCACAGCTGCGCTACAGCCGGCTGTAGGTGGCACTTCAGGAGAAATGGCAGGCGCTACAGCTGCTCCTTTTTCGGCTGCTGCTTGGGCCGGCGTTGGCCAAAGCACAGCTGCGCTACAGCCGGCTGGAGCTGGCCCAGGGGGGGAAATGGCAGGCAGGGGGATGACAGCCGCTACAGCAGGTCCCTTTTCAGCTGCTGCTTGGGCCGACGTTGGCCCGAGCACAGCTGCGCTACAGCCGGATGGAGCTGGTACTGTGGGAGACATGACAAGCGAGAGAATGGCAGCCGCTACAGCCACTCCTTTCCCTGGTGGGGCTGACACACCCACGCTACAAGGGAGGAGCAGTTACGTCACTACTTTTGGGCCAGGCGCGCTCACACTTCAAGGCAAAAGCAGCCAAGGCGCGGAGACAGAGCGTGGTTCCGAGGGTGAAGAAGGGGGGGACAAGGACGGTGACAGGGAGGAGCAAGAGGGGGTATACATTTTCGGGCAGTTGATATCCCCTCGCACACAATAAGATGCTGCTGCAAGCAGCAGCAGCAGTTTTTCGGAGGCAAGTTGGTGCCCAGTTTTGCTAAGAGAAGGGTTTTGTCATGCATTTTACACGCGCAAAGCAAACGTTAGTGGACATTGCTTCTATGTACACGTCGGATTGAACCCATGTTATTTATACGGAAAAACGAACACATGCTGCGAGCGCCACACGCTGCCTCCGGGCTTGTATTGCTACGCAATGCATGCAGAGATTTTTTGTGGTGACCAAACTAGTGCAAAAGGGTGGGTTTGTTACATTAACCAGGAAGGGCTGAAGCACGGGTGCTAGATTTTGAGAAGCCACAAAACAGCGAGTGTTTTTTGAGAATTCTCAAAAAACACTCAATGAAGCACGGGTGCTAGATTTTGAGAAGCCACAAAACACGATGGACACCCTGAGGACAGCGATAGAGCGAACATGGCCGAGACATTTTTTGTAGACGAAAAATACCGTATAAAGACCCTTGAGCACCCAGCCTTTATCGAGAAAAACAAGCGTTCGGACTCGTTCAACCAAGGCGGGGCTGAACTATGCTTCCCTTTTGGGGCGCCTCAGGAACAAATTAAGCAAATTAAGCAAATTAAGTAGGCTTCCGGAAATACAGCCAGTCAAGCAACACATTTTAAAACATGGTGGATTGAACAAGCGAGAAAAGCAAGCAAAGCAAGCTAGCGGGAAGAGCGAGAGACATACCATATGATACAGATGGTGAGGAGTTGCAGTGGCCAATGGCCGGACATGCGTATTCTCGTGGCTACCCTCACGCCTGCCTGGAAAGTCAGCAGGCACTCAGGCAATCAGCAGTCAGGACTCCGCAGCAGCAGAGCAACAGCAGGAGCAGCAGCTACGGGGTGTTTGGCCATCGGATCCAGCAGGGTGCGAGACATGAGTGCAGGATCGATGGGCTTGGTGAGGTGGGAGTGCTGCCAGGCACTCAGGAGTCAGCAGCAGCAGGAGGAGGAGCAGCAGCTACAGGGTGTTTTGCCATGAGGCCTAGGAGGGTGCGGGACATGAGAGCAGGATCGATCGGCTTGGTGAGGTAAGCATCCATGCCCGCATCCAGGCACCTGCAATGATCACTGGTCGTGGCGTGTGCTGTAGCCTGTAGCAGGCAATCATGAGTCAGCAGGGGTAGGAGCGGCAGCAGCAGCTACAGGGTGCTTGGCCATCAAACCCAGCAGGGTGCGGGACATGAGTGCAGGGTCAATAGGCTTGGTGAGGTAAGCATCCATGCCCGCATCCAGGCACTTGCGGTGGTCACTGGTCATGGCGTGGGCTGTGAGCGCCACTATGGGCGTGTGGAAGGGCGTCCCCGCCTCCCCTGCTCTGATGGCTGCTGTGGCCCCATACCCGTCCAACACAGGCATCTGAGGGGGAAGGAAAAGGGGGGAAGGAGGTTGGAGGGAGGAGGGAGGGAGAATGGGAAGGAGGGAGGGAAGAGGAGGCAAGAGGGAGTTAGGCGAGAGAGGGAGGGCAGAGGGAGGGGCAAGGAGGCAGCACTTGCGGTGGTCACTGGTCATGGCGTGGGCTGTGAGCGCCACTATGGGCGTATGGAATGGCGTCCCCGCCTCCCCTGCCCTGATGGCTGCTGTTGCTCCGTACCCGTCCAACACAGGCATCTGAGGGGGAATGGGGGAGGGGAGAAGAGAGGGGAGGGAAGGAGGGAGGAAGGAGGAGAGAAGCGAGAGGAGGGGAGGAAGGGAGGGAGGGAAGAGAGGAAAGAGGGGGTTAGGAGAGAAAGGGAGAGGGAGGGCAGAGGGAGGGGCAAGGAGGCAGCACTTGCGGTGGTCACTGGTCATGGCGTGGGCTGTGAGTGCCACTATGGGCGTGTGGAATGGCGTGCCCGCCTCCCCCGCTCTGATGGCTGCTGTGGCTCCGTACCCGTCGAGTACCGGCATCTGGTGGGAGGGAAGGGGGGAAGGCAGGGTGGAAGTGAGAGTGGGCAAGGAGATGGTGGGATAAGTTCAAGCCAAATCAAGAGGTACCTGAATGCCTGACTGGCCTGCTCTGATTGCTGAATGCGCGCAACAGAGGCGACTTTTGAGGCGCCTCAAAAGTGGGCAAGAAGAAAGTGGGATAAGATAAGTTCAAGCCAAGTCAAGAGGCACCTGAATGCCTGACTCGCCTGCTCTGGTTGCTGAATGTGCGCAGCAGAGTCTCATGCACGCATGCTCACATGGAGGCAAACGCTCTCACCTGGCAATCCATCAGCACCGCATCGAACCGCCCCGTGTTGCTGGCGTAGGTGGCCAACACCGCGTCCACCGCCTGCTGCCCGTCACACTCTCGATCACACACGCACACACACACAAGCCATGCCTACAGGGAAGTTCACACACCTGGCAATCCATCAGCACCGCATCGAACCGCCCCGTATTGCTGGTGTAGGTGGCCAGCACCGCATCCACTGCCTGCTGCCCATCACACACCCTCACTCATGCACCGCGCATGCTCACACACACGCACATGAATGCCTTAAGGCCGTCAGCAGCACACACACCTGGCAATCCATGAGCACCGCATCGAACCGCCCCGTATTGCTGGCGTATGTGGCCAGCACCGCATCCACTGCCTGCTGCCCGTCACACACCGCCTCGACCTCGCAGCCGAGCTTCTGCATTCGGATTATGGCCACCTGGTGGGGTGGGGAGTGGAACCGGGGGAGGGAAGAAAAGAGGGAACGGGAGGAGTGGGGAAGGGGCACGGGGAGAGGACTGGCCTGCTGCTACCCGTCACACACCGCCTCGACCCCGCAGCCCAGATTCTGCATTCGGATCATGGCCACCTGGTTGTTCGGTGTGCAGGGGGATTGAGAAGAGGCGGAGTGGGAGGAAAGGGGAGGAGGAGAGGGGAAGAGGCACAGGGAGAGGACTGGCCTGCTGCTGCCCGTCACACACCGCCTCGACCTCGCAGCCGAGCTTCTGCATTCGGATTATGGCCACCTGGTGGGGTGGTGAGTGGGGAAGATGGATGGAAGAGCAGTGGGAGGAAGGGGAGAGGAGAGGAAGGAGAGCATTTGGCCTGCTGCTGCCTGTCACACACCGCCTCGACCTCACATCCCAGCTTTTGCATATCCGGATTATGGCCACCTGCCTCCCCGCCTCACCTTGCGCAGCAGGGCCGTGGCCTTGAGTAATCTGCACCCGCTTGCCCACCCACTGCCTCACCTTCCTCAGCACAGAGCTACTTCCCTTCCCACCGTCTCACCTTCCTCAGCAGGGCCGTGTCTTCAGCAATCAGCACCCGCTTGCCTGCTAGCGCGTCACCTACCCCACCCGTCCGCTAACACATCGTCAACCACATCAAGGCACTATCTCCCACTGCCTCCCCACCATCCACCTTTCTCAGCACAGAGCGGCATTCGCCCCACCAGCGCCTCACCTTGCGCAGCAGGGCCGTGTCTTCAGCGATTAGCACCCGCTTGCCTGCACACGCATTTCCTACGCCACCCGTCCGCTAACTACGCATTGCCCACCACCTTACCACACTGCTTGTCCCCGCCTCACCTTCCTCAGCAGAGCCGTGTCTTCAGCAATCAGCACCCGCTTGCCAGCCAGCGCGTTGCCCAGTAGCACATTGTGCACCACGTTACAACACTCCGTGTCTGCAGCCGCCTCACCTTACTCAACACAAAGCCATTTCCCTTCCCATTGCCTCACCTTGCGCAGCAGAGCCGTGTCTTCAGCAATCAGCACCCGCTTGCCTGCTAGCGCGTTGCCCAGTAGAACATTGTGCACCACGTTACAACACTCCGTGTCTGCAGCCGCCTCACCTTCCTCAACACAAAGCCATTTCCCTTCCCATTGCCTCACCTTGCGCAGCAGAGCCGTGTCTTCAGCAATCAGCACCCGCTTGCCTGCCAGCGCGTTGTCAAACGAGCCCTCTGAGAAGGACGCCTGGGGGGAGGGGCGGGGGAGGGGGGAGGGGGGAGGGGGGAGGGGGGGGGGGGGGGGGGGGGAGAAGGGGAACATGCCAAGCACGGGCAGGGAGGGGATGAGGAGGATTGGGGAGACAACTTATGAGGCGCCCCACAAGGCGCCAGCGCGTTGTCAAACGAGCTCTCTGAGAAGGACGCCTGGGGGGAGGGGCGGGGGAGGGGCGGGGGGGTGAAGTGCAAGGCACGGGAAATGAGTGGCGGAGAGGAGGGACGTCTGGCTTCTGTCACATTTGCATGAATGTGAGTTGAGAAGGGTAAGAGCACGGGGGTTGTACAAAGTGTATATAATGTACATAGCGCGCTGGGCTAGTAACAAGGATGCACGGGGAAGAGACAGGCGACGGTTGGGGTGAAAGGGGGTGAGCTGGAGGTTGACGTCTGCTGAAGCGAAGGGTTGGAGACGGGCATGGGAAGCAAACAGGGCGGGACTAACGTAAGTGGAAGGTGGGCAAGGGGAGGATTACAGCGCCAGGCAGCGGCTGGGCAAGCAGGTTACCACCAGAGCTTGGATGGGTGTTCGCGTGCATGTGTGTTTGCTTTCGTTTGTGTGCAGGTGTGCTCCAAGGAGCCAGCTGGAACAGTACAGTGGCAGCTGGAGGAAAGTAGCAGGAGGCGGGGAACAGAGGCAGTTGGCAGGATGGTTGCTAGTCTGCTCCAAGGTTGCGATAGCTACCGAGGATAGGCAAGGGAAGACGGGACTAGCAGGGCGGAGGCAGATCTGGTAGATAGGAGGAGCCTTGTTGTAGCTATCCTTGTTTGCTTGTATGTTTCCTTTCTAATACGAGTTCTTGCAACATCTTGAGCAAGTAGTAGAGTTAGGGAGATATGACAAGCTGTGTGACTTAGGCAAAGCTGGTGGCAAGGAAGATATGTGAAGGAGCTAGGTACTCATCATAGAGTGAGTACATCACAGAGAGAGTCAGCAAGGGATAAGGGGAGAGACAAAGGACAGAGTTGCAGAAGAGAGAAGCCAAGGAAGGGGCGGGGTTGAGAGGAGAAGGGGAGGTCAGGACAGCAGTGTGAGAGTGGGGAAGAGGTGTGAGAGACGTGAGAAGGAGCATGGTGTAGAGAGAGAGGTAGAAGGGCAGGGAGGAGGAGGTGAGTTCCGACACTTCACTCGAAAGTTAAAGAGATAAAAACAAAAAGAAAGTACAAAAAATAAAGAAGGGGGGTTAAGGAGGAGGAGGGGGGGGGGGGGGGGGGGGGGGGTGAAGGGAAGGTAGGGGAGGGGGTGGAGGCGGTTTTAGGGTGAGGAGCACTGACCCCCTTCTTGAGCCCACTGTTGACCGGCCGCATCCTGCCTGACCGTCCCATGGGAGGTCGATCCACCTCCGTTCACCCAAAAGGCCGAAACATAAAAGAGAAGAAAACAAACCAAGGCGAAAACGAAGGAAGGAGCACTGACCCCTTTCTTGAGCCCGCTGTTGACCGGCCGCATCCTCCCCGACCGGGACCCTGGAGACGACTCCAACGGCCCTGCTGCCGCTGCTGCTGCTGCTGCCCCTCACTCAAGGGGCCGGAAAACAATAGGAAACAACAGAAAGCCAAAAAAGAAGAAGCACTGACCCCTTTCTTGAGCCCGCTGTTGACCGGCCGCGTCCTCCCTGACCGTGAGCCGGGAGACGACTCCAACACCCCTGCGGCCCCTGCTGCTGCCGCTCCCGGTGCAGGCGAGCCAGCACCTGCACCGCCAGCGGCACCACGAGCACCAGCAGCACCAGCAGCACCAGCACCGTCACTTACGGCCGGGCCGGTGCCTTCTGCACTCGCCGCCGAGGGAATGGGGGGGCGGCCGGTGGGGAGGCCATGGGGGGAGGCGGCAGCAGCGGCGTGTGGGGAGGGGAGGGGGGGGGCGCGACCCGAGGGAGGGGGGTACCCAGACATAGCCGCTCCCCCCCCACCAGCACCACCACCAGCAGCAGAACTAGCAGCGGTGGCGCTAGTGGGGGTGGAGGCGGAGGGGCGAGGGCAGGGGGAGAAGGGGACGGAGACGGCAGCAGTGTTGCGCAGCGCTGTGGACGAGGCTGCTGGGGAGTCGGCTGATTCGTCCTCCTCTGCTGGTGCTGGTAGGCCCCACGCCTGGTGGGTTGAGAAAGGGGGTGGGCGGAGGGATGGAGGAAGAAGAGTGAGCGAGAGTAGCAGCAGCGGTGCAGAGCTGGGGTGAGGATGAGGCTGCTGGGGAGTCGGCTGACTCGTCCTCCTCTGCTGGCGCTGGCAGGCCCCACGCCTGGTGGATGGGGGGGGAGGGGAGAGGGGGGAAAAGGGGAGAGATGGAGGAGAGTGAGAGTGAGTGGCAGCAGCACCACCAGCGGCTGCTGGGGAGTCAGCTTACTCGTCTTCCTCTGCTGGCGCTGGCAGCCCCCACGCCTGGTGGATGGGGAGGGGGAGGGAAGAGGGAAGGCGGGAGGTGGGGAGGATGGAGGAGACGAGGTGAGGGTGGGAACACGGAGAGAGGGTGCAGGCTGCTGGGGAGTCGGCTGACTCGTCCTCCTCTGCTGGCGCTGCTGGCAGCCCCCACGCCTGGTGGGGGAAGGGGAGAGAGTGGGGGGAGACAGACGGAGTGGAATGAGTGGCAGCAGCAGCAGCACCAGCGGCACCAGCAACCAGGAACAGCAGGCGAGCCGGTGATTCGTCCTCCTCTGATGGCGCTGCTGGCAGCCCCCACGCCTGGTGGATGGGGGAGGGCGGGTAGAGTGGGAGTGAGTGGCACCGGCTACGGAAGCAGCGGCGGCGGCGGCGGCGGCGGCAGCAGCAGCACAGAAACAACAACACTTGTCAGAGTGTAGTGAGTCGATTTTTGAGTCGACTCAAAAATCGACTCACTACACGCAGCAGCACAGAAACAACAACACTTGTCAGAGTGTAGTGAGTCGATTTTTGAGTCGACTCAAAAATCGACTCACTACACGCAGCAGCACAGAAACAACAACACTTGTCAGAGTGTAGTGAGTCGATTTTTGAGTCGACTCAAAAATCGACTCACTACACGCAGCAGCACAGAAACAACAACACTTGTCAGAGTGTAGTGAGTCGATTTTTGAGTCGACTCAAAAATCGACTCACTACACGCAGCAGCACAGAAACAACAACACTTGTCAGAGTGTAGTGAGTCGATTTTTGAGTCGACTCAAAAATCGACTCACTACACGCAGCAGCACAGAAACAACAACACTTGTCAGAGTGTAGTGAGTCGATTTTTGAGTCGACTCAAAAATCGACTCACTACACGCAGCAGCACAGAAACAACAACACTTGTCAGAGTGTAGTGAGTCGATTTTTGAGTCGACTCAAAAATCGACTCACTACACGCAGCAGCACAGAAACAACAACACTTGTCAGAGTGTAGTGAGTCGATTTTTGAGTCGACTCAAAAATCGACTCACTACACGCAGCAGCACAGAAACAACAACACTTGTCAGAGTGTAGTGAGTCGATTTTTGAGTCGACTCAAAAATCGACTCACTACACGCAGCAGCACAGAAACAACAACACTTGTCAGAGTGTAGTGAGTCGATTTTTGAGTCGACTCAAAAATCGACTCACTACACGCAGCAGCACAGAAACAACAACACTTGTCAGAGTGTAGTGAGTCGATTTTTGAGTCGACTCAAAAATCGACTCACTACACGCAGCAGCACAGAAACAACAACACTTGTCAGAGTGTAGTGAGTCGATTTTTGAGTCGACTCAAAAATCGACTCACTACACGCAGCAGCACAGAAACAACAACACTTGTCAGAGTGTAGTGAGTCGATTTTTGAGTCGACTCAAAAATCGACTCACTACACGCAGCAGCACAGAAACAACAACACTTGTCAGAGTGTAGTGAGTCGATTTTTGAGTCGACTCAAAAATCGACTCACTACACGCAGCAGCACAGAAACAACAACACTTGTCAGAGTGTAGTGAGTCGATTTTTGAGTCGACTCAAAAATCGACTCACTACACGCAGCAGCACAGAAACAACAACACTTGTCAGAGTGTAGTGAGTCGATTTTTGAGTCGACTCAAAAATCGACTCACTACACGCAGCAGCACAGAAACAACAACACTTGTCAGAGTGTAGTGAGTCGATTTTTGAGTCGACTCAAAAATCGACTCACTACACGCAGCAGCACAGAAACAACAACACTTGTCAGAGTGTAGTGAGTCGATTTTTGAGTCGACTCAAAAATCGACTCACTACACGCAGCAGCACAGAAACAACAACACTTGTCAGAGTGTAGTGAGTCGATTTTTGAGTCGACTCAAAAATCGACTCACTACACGCAGCAGCACAGAAACAACAACACTTGTCAGAGTGTAGTGAGTCGATTTTTGAGTCGACTCAAAAATCGACTCACTACACGCAGCAGCACAGAAACAACAACACTTGTCAGAGTGTAGTGAGTCGATTTTTGAGTCGACTCAAAAATCGACTCACTACACGCAGCAGCACAGAAACAACAACACTTGTCAGAGTGTAGTGAGTCGATTTTTGAGTCGATTCAAAAATCGACTCACTACACGCAGCAGCACAGAAACAACAACACTTGTCAGAGTGTAGTGAGTCGATTTTTGAGTCGACTCAAAAATCGACTCACTACACGCAGCAGCACAGAAACAACAACACTTGTCAGAGTGTAGTGAGTCGATTTTTGAGTCGACTCAAAAATCGACTCACTACACGCAGCAGCACAGAAACAACAACACTTGTCAGAGTGTAGTGAGTCGATTTTTGAGTCGACTCAAAAATCGACTCACTACACGCAGCAGCACAGAAACAACAACACTTGTCAGAGTGTAGTGAGTCGATTTTTGAGTCGACTCAAAAATCGACTCACTACACGCAGCAGCACAGAAACAACAACACTTGTCAGAGTGTAGTGAGTCGATTTTTGAGTCGACTCAAAAATCGACTCACTACACGCAGCAGCACAGAAACAACAACACTTGTCAGAGTGTAGTGAGTCGATTTTTGAGTCGACTCAAAAATCGACTCACTACACGCAGCAGCACAGAAACAACAACACTTGTCAGAGTGTAGTGAGTCGATTTTTGAGTCGACTCAAAAATCGACTCACTACACGCAGCAGCACAGAAACAACAACACTTGTCAGAGTGTAGTGAGTCGATTTTTGAGTCGACTCAAAAATCGACTCACTACACGCAGCAGCACAGAAACAACAACACTTGTCAGAGTGTAGTGAGTCGATTTTTGAGTCGACTCAAAAATCGACTCACTACACGCAGCAGCACAGAAACAACAACACTTGTCAGAGTGTAGTGAGTCGATTTTTGAGTCGACTCAAAAATCGACTCACTACACGCAGCAGCACAGAAACAACAACACTTGTCAGAGTGTAGTGAGTCGATTTTTGAGTCGACTCAAAAATCGACTCACTACACGCAGCAGCACAGAAACAACAACACTTGTCAGAGTGTAGTGAGTCGATTTTTGAGTCGACTCAAAAATCGACTCACTACACGCAGCAGCACAGAAACAACAACACTTGTCAGAGTGTAGTGAGTCGATTTTTGAGTCGACTCAAAAATCGACTCACTACACGCAGCAGCACAGAAACAACAACACTTGTCAGAGTGTAGTGAGTCGATTTTTGAGTCGACTCAAAAATCGACTCACTACACGCAGCAGCACAGAAACAACAACACTTGTCAGAGTGTAGTGAGTCGATTTTTGAGTCGACTCAAAAATCGACTCACTACACGCAGCAGCACAGAAACAACAACACTTGTCAGAGTGTAGTGAGTCGATTTTTGAGTCGACTCAAAAATCGACTCACTACACGCAGCAGCACAGAAACAACAACACTTGTCAGAGTGTAGTGAGTCGATTTTTGAGTCGACTCAAAAATCGACTCACTACACGCAGCAGCACAGAAACAACAACACTTGTCAGAGTGTAGTGAGTCGATTTTTGAGTCGACTCAAAAATCGACTCACTACACGCAGCAGCACAGAAACAACAACACTTGTCAGAGTGTAGTGAGTCGATTTTTGAGTCGACTCAAAAATCGACTCACTACACGCAGCAGCACAGAAACAACAACACTTGTCAGAGTGTAGTGAGTCGATTTTTGAGTCGACTCAAAAATCGACTCACTACACGCAGCAGCACAGAAACAACAACACTTGTCAGAGTGTAGTGAGTCGATTTTTGAGTCGACTCAAAAATCGACTCACTACACGCAGCAGCACAGAAACAACAACACTTGTCAGAGTGTAGTGAGTCGATTTTTGAGTCGACTCAAAAATCGACTCACTACACGCAGCAGCACAGAAACAACAACACTTGTCAGAGTGTAGTGAGTCGATTTTTGAGTCGACTCAAAAATCGACTCACTACACGCAGCAGCACAGAAACAACAACACTTGTCAGAGTGTAGTGAGTCGATTTTTGAGTCGACTCAAAAATCGACTCACTACACGCAGCAGCACAGAAACAACAACACTTGTCAGAGTGTAGTGAGTCGATTTTTGAGTCGACTCAAAAATCGACTCACTACACGCAGCAGCACAGAAACAACAACACTTGTCAGAGTGTAGTGAGTCGATTTTTGAGTCGACTCAAAAATCGACTCACTACACGCAGCAGCACAGAAACAACAACACTTGTCAGAGTGTAGTGAGTCGATTTTTGAGTCGACTCAAAAATCGACTCACTACACGCAGCAGCACAGAAACAACAACACTTGTCAGAGTGTAGTGAGTCGATTTTTGAGTCGACTCAAAAATCGACTCACTACACGCAGCAGCACAGAAACAACAACACTTGTCAGAGTGTAGTGAGTCGATTTTTGAGTCGACTCAAAAATCGACTCACTACACGCAGCAGCACAGAAACAACAACACTTGTCAGAGTGTAGTGAGTCGATTTTTGAGTCGACTCAAAAATCGACTCACTACACGCAGCAGCACAGAAACAACAACACTTGTCAGAGTGTAGTGAGTCGATTTTTGAGTCGACTCAAAAATCGACTCACTACACGCAGCAGCACAGAAACAACAACACTTGTCAGAGTGTAGTGAGTCGATTTTTGAGTCGACTCAAAAATCGACTCACTACACGCAGCAGCACAGAAACAACAACACTTGTCAGAGTGTAGTGAGTCGATTTTTGAGTCGACTCAAAAATCGACTCACTACACGCAGCAGCACAGAAACAACAACACTTGTCAGAGTGTAGTGAGTCGATTTTTGAGTCGACTCAAAAATCGACTCACTACACGCAGCAGCACAGAAACAACAACACTTGTCAGAGTGTAGTGAGTCGATTTTTGAGTCGACTCAAAAATCGACTCACTACACGCAGCAGCACAGAAACAACAACACTTGTCAGAGTGTAGTGAGTCGATTTTTGAGTCGACTCAAAAATCGACTCACTACACGCAGCAGCACAGAAACAACAACACTTGTCAGAGTGTAGTGAGTCGATTTTTGAGTCGACTCAAAAATCGACTCACTACACGCAGCAGCACAGAAACAACAACACTTGTCAGAGTGTAGTGAGTCGATTTTTGAGTCGACTCAAAAATCGACTCACTACACGCAGCAGCACAGAAACAACAACACTTGTCAGAGTGTAGTGAGTCGATTTTTGAGTCGACTAAAAAATCGACTCACTACACGCAGCAGCACAGAAACAACAACACTTGTCAGAGTGTAGTGAGTCTATTTGTGTTGTCAACAACAACACAGCATCCACCTGCTTGTTTGCCTCTCCATGATGCCACTGCGACCCCCCCACTCCGCCCATTCAAGGCGGCTTCTGAGTAACCAAGCCTCTCCACCCAGAGGGTAGCAACAGCGCGGACCAAAGAAACCAAACCACTATACTCTCACCTGCTCGTTTGCCTCGCCATGGTGCCACTGTGACCCCACCCCCTTCCCCTCCCGCATCTCCCCCTCGCCCGCCCCTCCCACCAAACGTGCGCGGCATGTCAATCTGCGAGCTCGAGTGCGGCACACTGTTACGTTTGAGTCGACTCAAAAGTCACGCTGTTCCTGGCCGTCACCATGCCTGTCCACACAAACCAGACAACCATACTCTCACCTGCTCGTTCGCCTCTCCATGATGCCACTGTGAACCCCCTCCTTCCGCTCCCGCATCTCCCCCTCGTCCGCCCCTCGCCCCGAACGTGCGCGGCATGTCGATCTGAGAGCTCGAGTGCGGCACACTGTTCCTGGCCGTCGCCAGGGCGAGGAGAGGAGCCATGCGTGATGCATAGAGCGGCTTGGACGCCACTGCACACCCCGACCTGTGAATGGGGGGATGGGAGGGAGGGGAGAGGGGAGGAAAGGGATGAAGGGTGAGCATGTGGCACGTCAATCTGTGACCTCGAGTGCGGCACGCTGTTCCTGGCCGTTGCCAGGGCGAGCAGAGGGGCCATTCGCAAAGCGTAGAGGGGCTTGGACGCCACTGCACACCCCGAGTGTTTTTTGAGAATTCTCAAAAAACACTCAGAGGGGCCATTCGCAAAGCGCAGAGGGGCTTGGACGCCACCGCACACCCCGACCTGCGTATGAAGGGTGTTGGGAAAGGAGCAGCGGGAGCGGGGGGCAATGAACTGATGCACGCTGGGCACAACAGACATTAGACCCCTCTACCACCGCCGCCAGCATCAGCTTCCATACTAACCAGGTGACTTTTGAGTCGACTAGATGACTTTTGAGTCGACTCATCAAAAGTCACCTCGCTGGGCAGGGCACAACACAATAGACATTAGACACGTCTATCACCGCCAGCATCAGCTTCCATACTAATCTGAATGCTGCCCTGCCTGCCTGCTGCCCTGCCTGCCTGCTGCCTGCCTGCCAGAACCTACCGCCTGTCTTACCTCCTGAGCGCCCGCCTCGTATCCGCAGAGGTGTTGTGCTCCACGAGCCACGCAATGACAAACCCCTGGTGCAGCAGGCGTGCGCTTGTATCTGCGCTGCCTACCATGTATGTGATGCCTACCTTCTGAGTGCCCTCCTGGTATCCGCCGACGTGTTGTGCTCCACCAGCCACGCGATCACAAAGCCCTGGTGCTGCAGGCGAGCGCGGAAGATGTGAAGCTCCTCGGCGATGAACTGGTGCACGCTGGGCACGATGGCCACGTCTATCACCGCCAGCATCAGCTTCCATACTCACCTGCCTGCTGCCCTGCCTGCTGCGCTGACCGTGCTTCCTCTCGGAGCCTACCTTCTGAGCGCCCGCCTCGTATCCGCCGACGTGTTGTGCTCTACGAGCCACGCGATCACGAATCCCTGGTGCTGCAGGCGCGCCCGAAATATATGAAGCTCCTCGGCGATGAACTGGTGCACGCTGGGCACGATGGCCACGTCTATCACCGCCAGCATCAGCTTCGACGCCGGCTGCCTACCTGCCTGCTGCCCCACTCACTCCCTACCACTCACCATCACACTAGTCACTCGCACGCGCGCCCTCTTCCTTCTCGGAACCTACCTCCTGAGAGCGCGCCTGGTTATTTCCGATGTGCTGTGCTCCACAAGCCAGGCAATCACAAATCCTTGGTGCTGCAGGCGCGCCCGAAATATATGAAGCTCCTCCGCTATAAACTGGTGCACGCTGGGAACAATCGACACGTCTATCACCGCCAGCATCAGCTTCGACGCTGGCCGGGCTGTAGAGGACGAGGAGGAGGAGGATGCTAGGGCTGCTGAGCTGAGCCTACCTTCTGAGCGCCCTTACCTTCTGAGAGCGCGCCTGGTATCGGCTGACGTGTTGTGCTCCACCAACCACGCGATGACGAATCCCTGGTGCTGCAGGCGCGCCCGAAATATATGAAGCTCCTCCGCTATGAACTGGTGCACATTAGGAACAATCGACACGTCTATCACCGCCAGCATCAGCTTCGATGCCGGCCGGGCTGTAGAGGAGGAGGACGAGGATGAGGAGGCTTGGGCTGCTGCTGAAGGAGGGGAGGCGGGGATGAGCCGGGAAGGGGACGCTGGGACGACCCTTGACGGGGACGCAGCAGAGAGGAAGGATCCACGGGGAGCCGTGGCAGCAGCAGGAGCAGCAGCAGCAGCACCACCGCCGCCGCCACCGCCACCAGTGCCAGCACCTTCGGATTCAACAGCAGCAACAGCGGCGGCAGCAGCAGCTGCAATCGAGCCGTCTTTGTCCGACCCCACGCCCCCCGAACCCCCTCTCCCTCCAACCAGCCCCGCTCCGAGCGACCGGGAGCCGATGCTCCCATGGGCCAACGGCCCACTCAACAAGCCCTGCTGCTCCCTGCCCACCGTTCCATCAAAGGACAGCGATGCGAGGCCATTCGAAGCTGTGCCTAGAGCACCACCACCAGCACCAGCAGCAGCAGCGCCAGCAGCATCAGCAGAAGCGGGTGGGGTGGTGGCGGAGGCAGAGCCGTGGCTGGAAAAGGACGGATCTTGGCTGCTACCCTGCTTTTCCAGGGACCGTCGGGACTTGGTGCTCATAGCACGCCCCAGCAGCCTGCTGCTGCTGCTGCCGAAACTCTTCACCATCCCTGCTGCCCTCCCTCCCCCCAACCCCCCTCCTCCTCCCCCTCCTGCTTTCCCCCCGTCCGCCCCCTCCCCCGCTCCCCCGTCTCCTATATCCCCGTCCTCGCTGTCCCCGCACGTGCTTGCAGCAGCAGGGCTGCCAAAGCAGCGCCCGGGGCTGCTGAGAATGCGGCCGTTGCCCAGAGGATGGGAGGGGGAGGGAAGCCGGTTCCATACCTCTCTCTGCCCCTGCCCCTGCCCGGGTCCGCCTGATTCAGATACCACCTGCCCCATCTGCACCTGCATAGGACCTGACAGGGGGGTCTGATCAGGGGTGATTGGTCGAGGGGAGGTCCCACCCGCCCCCCCTCCCCCTCCCCCTCCCCCAGGTCCGCCTGGCACTGCTGCTACAGCCGCTGCCATAGCTGCCGCTACAGCCGCTGGGGATGGCGCTACAGGTGCTGGTAAGGAGTCGTGGGATCGAGGAGAGGGGCTGCGCCAGCCTACAGCCGACCTTGCTTTATCCACCATCGGACTGAACCCACCCGCACCACTCCCAACCCCACCGCCACCACCACCACCGTTGCTGCTGCTGCCGCCACCCCCAGCGCCGAAACTACCACCTCCCACCCCCCCACCCCCCACCGCTCCACCCACAGCAGCAATCCCCCCTCTCTCCCCTCTCTCCCCCTTCTCCCCCTTCTCCCCTTTCTCCCCCTTCTCCCCTCCTCCGCCCCCTCTCAGAGCAGTGAAGCTGCGCATGAGCGGGGCAGAGAAGCCCACGAGGGAGCGCGAGGCGCGGGGGGGCTGCGAGGCGGCCGACTTCTGGATCAGTATGGACGCGACAGCTGGCATGATCTCCTGCCACGTGTGCGCTCGCCACACCTTGAGCTTGCGCCGCTCCATCCAGGCCGTGGCGATGGCTGCCCCGGCACTGTCCTCCTTCATTGCTAGAAGGACCTGAGAGGGGGATGACGAGAGAGCCGGAGTGGGGTGTGGGGGGGGAGGAGAGGACGTGTAGGCAGAGTGAGCGCCACACCTTGAGCTTGTGGCGTTCCATGATCCATCCAGGCTGTTGCACCAGCCAGGCGGATAGTCCAGGCTGTTGCAATGGCCGCCCCTGCACTATCCACCTTCATTGCGACAAGGACCTGAGAGGGATGTGGAGTGAGAGAAGGGTGGGGAGAGAGGGGACGAGAAGGCATGCAGGCGGGGTGAGCGCCACACCTTGAGCTTACATGCCCTGCCATATCCCACTTCCTACACCTGCATCTCTTCTCTCCCCACCCTTTCCTGCTCACCTGCCCTCCCTCCAACTCTCCCCCCCCTCTCCTCACCTACCCTCCCTCCACCCTCCCACCCTCCCCCTCTCCCCTCACCTGCCCGCCCTCCACGGCAGTCAGCTTAGGCAGTAGCAGCTCCGGCTGAAGCATGCTGTTGTGCCACCCTGCCCACGCTGCCCTTCTCGCCTATCAGTAGTCTCTATCCCATTCGTATTAGCCCTCACTCTCCTTTGGTCCCACCTGCCCTCTCCCCTCCCTAACCTGCTCTCCCCCCACCACCTCCATCACATCCCCTCCCCCTCCCTTTTGTCCCCCCTCCACCCTGGTTCTCACCTGCCCGCCCTCCACGGCAGTCAGCTTGGGCAGCAGCAGCTCTGGCTGAAGCATGCTGTTGTGCCACCCTCCACCGCCCTCCACCGCTTCAAACCGCATGTCGAAGCGGAACCGAGCCCCCTGCCCATCCTTGTCCACCACGGCTATCGACCCGCCCATCAGGTTCACCTGTTGTCACACATGGGGTCACACATGGGGTCACACATGGGGTCACACATGGGGTCACACATGGGGGAATGCTATTGAGAATTCTCAGAAGCTGCCCATCCTTGTCCACCACAGCTATCGACCCGCCCATCAGGTTCACCTGGGATTACACACGGGATTACACATGGGGTTACACACGCGGTTACACATGGGTTACACATGCGGTTACACATGCGGTTACACATGGGGTTAAACATGGGGTTACACATGCAGCTAAAGAGAGGGTTACACATTAGTTGCACATGTCACATGAATTACACATGAGGTTACACACGGTACGAATTTACACATGGGGTCAAATCATCACACGTGTCACATGGGTTACGGGCATGCAGGGTAATGAGCACATTGATAAGCTGCACATGGAGAGTTACAAAAACTTACATCACAGAAAACTTGCTACTAGAAAACATTGTTACATTACTGCGATGGCGAAGGGGAAGGGGAGGGGAAAGGGGACGGGGAAGGGGAAGGGGAACCGGACGGAGAAGGGCAGGGAAGGAGAAGTGGAAGCGGAAGGGGAAGGGGAAGGGGAAGGGGAAGGGGAAGGGGAAGTGGAAGGGGAAGGGGAAGGGGAAGGGGAAGGGCAAGTGGAAGGGGAAGGGGAAGGGGAAGGGGAAGGGGAAGGGGAAGGGGAAGGGGAAGGGCAAGTGGAAGGCGAAGCGGAAGGGGAAGGGGAAAGGGATGGTAGGGAGGGAGCAAACATAAGGGATGGCTTACCAGGGAGCGGACGATTCCCAGACCGAGGCCTGGCACGGCAGACAAACACGCAGGAGCAGGATGGTGGCAGGCAGGGTGGGAAGGATGAAACGGTGAGACCAGTGGATTGGTGGGAAGGACTTCGCAACGGAGGGTGGAACATGGTGGAAAAAGTGCTCGCACACACACGACACGCGGGCTTACCAACGGACCAGCCACATACAATACAAGTACAGAAGCCTGCCCACCCCACTCCACCGTACCCCACCCCTTCTCATCACACCCCACCTGTGCCACCGTGCGTCCTGGCAGTGGACACATCTGCCTGTTGAAAGTTCTCAAAGATGGACTCCCTCTTGTGCACCGGGAATGCCCGGCCCCCACCAGAAGCACACAAGTGGAGGCCCCACCCCACCCCACGCCACACCACTCCGCCCAACCTTCCAACTCACCTGTGCCACCGTGCGTCCTGGCAGTGGAAACGTCCGCCTGTTGAAAGTTCTCAAAGATGGACTCCCGCTCGCTTGTGCACGGGAATGCCCGGCCCCGTGTCATCCACCTCAAACATGAGCGCCACTGTGCAGTGCCTCCCCTCCCACCACCCCACCTCACCCCACCCCACCCCACCGCATCCCACCTGTGCCACCGTGTGTCCTGGCAGTGGAAACGTCCGCCTGTTGAAAGTTCTTAAAAATAGATTCTCGCTTGTGCACGAGAATGCCCGGCCCCGTGTCATCCACCTCAAACATGTGGAGACCCCACCCTGCCCCACCCACCCCACTCCACTCCACCCTGTCCCACTCCATCCCCATTCGACCCCACCCCATCCCATCCCATCCCACCCCACCCCACCCCACCCCATCCCACCCCACCCCACCCCACCGCATCCCACCTGTGCCACCATGCGTGCGGGCAGTGGAAACGTCCTCCTGTTGAAAGTTCTCAAAGATAGATTCCCGCTTGTGCATGGGAATGCCCGGCCCCGTGTCATCCACCTCAAACATGAACGCCACCGTGCGCCGCCCCTTGCCCCCGCCCTGCTCCCCCACCACGCCCGCCCCCGCCACTCCCGCTGCTCCTGCTGCGTCTCCCTCTGTGCTGCTGGCATCGCGGCTCTTAGACCTGCTGTGCCGCCTGCTGCAAGCGGAATGGGTGTTGGGGAGGGGGATGGGGTTTGGGGAGGGGGGTGGGGAAGGCTTTTGAGGCGCCTCGAAACTCATCGCGGCTCTTGGACCTGCTGTGCCGCCTGCTGCAAGAGGAATGGGGGTTGGGGAGGGGGGTGGGGAAGGGGGAAAGGGAGAGGAGGAAGGCAGAGAGGGGAGAAGGCAGAGAGGGGAGAAGGCAGAGAGGGGAGTAGGCAGAGAGGGGAGAAGGCAGAGAGGGGAGTAGGCAGAGAGGGGAGTAGGCAGAGAGGGGAGAAGGGAGAGAGAGGGAGAGTAAGGAGGAATGCCCGGCCCCGTGTCATCCACCTCAAACATGAACGCCACTGTGCGCCGCGCCTTGCCCCCGCCCGCCGTGCTCGCCTCCCACCCCCGCTCCCACTCCCGCCATGCCTGCTCCCGCTGCGTCTGCTTCTGTGTTGTTGGAATTGTGGCACTTGGACCTGCTGGGCCGCTAGCTGTGGGGCTGATGGGGGTTAGGGAGAGGGATGGGGATGAGGGAGAAGGGAGAAGGGAGCGGGGGGAAGGCAGGGACCTGAGCAGTCAGCATCACGGCTCTTGGACCAGCATCACGACCCTTCCCCTCAGTCTCTCATTCCCCCTTCCCCCATCTCTCTCGGTCCTGCTTCGCCAGCTGCGGGGGCGGCCTGTCCAGCACCGCACCCACCCCCTCCCTCCCCCTCCCCTCCCCATCGCATCACTTCATATTCACTCCAACTCCCCCTCCCCCATTAACTTGCCCTTCTCCCCCGGGATGGCGAGGTCGTGCTTGGCCAGCTGCGGGGGCGGCCTGTCCCGCACCCACCCCCTCAGTCCCTCCCTTACTTCCTCGAAAGTTTTACTTGACCCACCCTTCCCCATCTAATCTTTGATGATTAACTTGACATGTTTTTTACTACCTTCACTCACTCTATCCCCACATCGATCCACCATTCCCACTCACTTGCCCTTCTCCCCCGGGATGGAGAGGTCCTGCTTGGCCAGCTGCGGGGGCGGCCTGTCGCGCACCCACCCCCTCACCACCACCTGCCCGTTCTTGGTGAACTTGCACGCGTTGCTCAGCAGATTCGCGAACACCTGAATGACAAGGAAGGAAGGGAGAGAGGGGCCGCGAAAGGCAAATGAGTGCACGAGCCAGCCAGCTACCAGTGCTCCCCTCACCTGGCCGTTCTTGGTGAACTTGCACGCGTTGCTCAGCAGATTCTCGAACATGAGCTGTGGGGGAATAGAGGAAGAGCAAGGGGGAGAGGGAGAGGGAGAGGGAGAAGGAGAGGGAGAGAGAGAGTGAGCGGGAGAGGGAGAGGGAGAGGGAGAGGGAGAGCAAGAGGGAGAGAGAGGGAGAGTGAGCGGGAGAGGGAGAGGGAGAGGGAGAGGGAGAGGGAGAGGGAGAGGGAGAAGGAGAGGGAGAGGGAGAGGGAGAGGGAGAGGGAGAGGGAGAGGGAGAGGGAGAGGGAGAGGGAGAGCGAGAGGGAGAGGGAGAGGGAGAGGGAGAGGGAGAGCGAGAGCGAGAGGGAGGCGAAGTGGTGAGAGGGTTCAAAGAAGGGAGCAAAGGGATTGAGGAAGCAAGAGGTAAGTGAGGGTGGCTGGAGTGGGAGGAGTGGGTTGGGCTGCGGCAGGATGGAAATCAAAAGAGGAGGGGCAGGAGAGAGAAAATGAAGTGTGGGTGGGGTGGGAGGTGGGGTGGGTGGAGCGAAAAACGATGGAATTGGGGGCAGCGGAAACAGAGGCAGACAACGGAGGAGGAAACGGGAGCGGGGAGTACGTGAAAGGCACATGGCACATGGCAAGGCCGAACCTGTCTGACTCGAGACGGGTCGCCCTTGACCGTCCGATCGATGTCGTCCGAGAGATCAAGGGCGATCTCAGTGCCATTGCTAAGCCCCTGCACGCTGAACATGTCCACCAGCGACTCCAGCTCGCCCACTATGTCAAACTCTAGAACCTCCAGCTGCATCTTGCCCGCCTCCACCTGTGATACACACACACATGCACCATGCATGCAGCCACGCACAGATAGCACAGGCACACACAGGTGCGAGAGAGCGCAAGAATGAGAAGTGATTCCACCAGTGACTCCAGCTCGCCCACTATGTCAAACTCCAACACCTCCAGCTGCATCTTGCCCGCCTCCACCTGTGATACACACACACATGCACCATGCATGCAGCCATGAACATGTCCACACGTGACTCGAGCTCGAGCTCGCCCACTATGTCAAACTCCAACACTTCTAGCTGCATCTTGCCTGCCTCCACCTGTCACACACACACGCACACACACGCACACAGATAGCACACAGATAGCACACAGATAGCACACAGATAGCACACAGATAGCACACAGATAGCACACAGATAGCACACAGATAGCACACAGATAGCACACAGATAGCACACAGATAGCACACAGATAGCACACAGATAGCACACAGATAGCACACAGATAGCACACAGATATAGCCCGGTTCGAAACGATTAGGGTTCGAGGCTTTCCTCATGCATATCCTGCGTTTCAATCGGAGATGGAGTAGGGTAGGGACCTCTCGTGCGGTAGAGTTTTGAAACGTCTCAAAACTCGACCTCTCGTGCTCATGCCTAGCCTAATCAGTAGCAAGAAAAACTCAAGGAAGAGAAAAGAGGTGGGGTGGTAGCACCTTGGCAATAACCAGCTTGTCTAAGAAGGGAAAGGGGGCGGTGGTGGCACCTTGGCGAGGTCGAGTAGGTTGTTGAGAAGTCCGAGGAGAGAGGCACAGCAGGACTCCATCAGAATGGGGTTAAGGGCAAGGGAGTGGTGGTGGTGGCACCATGGGGGGTAAGGTAAGGGCAAGGGAACGGTGGTGGTGGCACCTTGGCGAGGTCGAGTAGGTTGTTGAGAAGTCCGAGGAGAGAGGCACAGCAGGACTCCATCAGAATGGGGTTAAGGGCAAGGGAGTGGTGGTGGTGGCACCATGGGGGGTAAGGTAAGGGCAAGGGAACGGTGGTGGTGGCACCATGGGGGGTAAGGTAAAGGCAAGGGAGCGGTGGTGGTGGCACCTTGGCAAGGTCAAGCAGGTTGTTGAGGAGTCCGAGGAGAGAGGCACAGCAGGACTTCATCTGGCGCAGGTTGGCCTCCTGCTCCGATGACAGGTGGTCGCACAGCATGATGTCCAGCAGACCCAGGATGCTGCAGAGAGAGGGGGGCGGGGGGGCAGGACGAGGAGAGAGGCACAGCACAGCACAACTTAATCGACTCAAGGATTGGCCTCCAGCTCCGATGACAGGTGGTCGCACAGCATGATGTCCAGCAGACCCAGGATGCTGCAGAGAGAGGGGGGCGGGGGGGCAGGACGAGGAGAGAGGCACAGCACAGCACAACTTAATCGACTCAAGGATTGGCCTCCAGCTCCGATGACAGGTGGTCGCACAGCATGATGTCCAGTAGACCCAGGATGCTGAAGAGGGGGAGGAGGGGGGGCAGGACGAGGAGAGAGGCACAGCACAGCACACCTTAATCGACTCAAAGATTGGCCTCCTGCTCCGATGAGAGATGATCACACAGCATGATGTCCAGCAGACCCAAGATGCTGACGAGGGAAGTGGGGGGTGGGGGGAGTTGGAGTGGTGGGGGGATGCATGCATCCCATCGTAGTGTCATTGTGTTTGTGTGTGTGGAGGGGGGAAGGGGAGAAGCGGGTGGGGGAGGAAGGGGAGTGGGGAGACAGAGGCCCAGCCCTTGACTCACCCAGCCATGGGTGTCCTGAGGTCGTGTGAAATGTTCGCCAGGAACTGGCTCTTCACTTCGGAAGCAGCCTGCGCTCTCTGAGTCTCCTCCATTTGCCGCTGCAGCTCCTCTTAGGGGCGCATGCGCGTGTCCACTGTGTTGTATCAGTGTCTGTCTGTTACCCCACACCCACTCTTGACTCACCCAGCCATGGGGGTCCTGAGGTCGTGTGAAATGTTCGCCAGGAACTGGCTCTTCACTTCGGAAGCAGCCTGCGCTCTCTGAGTCTCCTCCATTTGCCGCTGCAGCTCCTCTTAGGGGCGCATGCGCGTGTCCACTGTGTTGTATCAGTGTCTGTCTGTTACCCCACACCCACTCTTGACTCACCCAGCCATGGGGGTCCTGAGATCGTGCGAAATGTTTGCCAGGAACTGGCTCTTCACTTCGGAGGCAGCCTGGGCTCGCTGGGTCTCCTCCATCTGGCGCTGCAGCTCCTCCTTGGGGCGCATGCGCGTGTCCACGTAGAGCGTGAGGAAGATCACCACGGCCCACCCGATGAGCAGCAGGCAGAGGGCGACGCCGGTGGTGACAATGACCATGATGCGCTGCTTGGATTCTATTGAGGCTGTTATGGACGCACGCGGCATGATGATCGCCAGGTACTGGTCGGTGGGGGGGAAGGGGACGGGGGTGGTGGGCGTTCCTTAGAGTGTATGGAGAGTGAGACATGGACGGACAGAGTGGGCGTTCCTTAGATCACCATTGCCCGCCCACCCGATGAGCAGCAGGCAGAGCGCCACAGCCGTGGTAACAATGACCATGATGCGCTGCTTCGATTCTATTGAGGCTGTTATGGAGGCGCGGGGCATGTGTGGGAGGTGGGGTGAGTCAGAGGGGTTCTATCTAGGGAGGGGACGGGGGAAGAAGGGGTTATACTTTGCACATTTCATCCAGGCTCACCATGTGGAGGTTGTTTGTCGAAGCTGAGAGCCCTGGTGCTCACGAAGCACGCCTCTCCATTCACCATCACACCCCCCACCGAGTGGTTCCCCGCCACCAGCACCAATACCTCCTCCCCAGCCCTCAACGATTGTGTATAGTATAGCTACTCCCAATCGAAGCTCACCATGTTGAGGTTGTCAAAGCTGAGAGCCATGATGCTCACAAAGCACTCCTCCCCATTCACCATCACACCCCCCACCGAGTAGTTCCCCGCCACCAGCACCAATACCTCCTCCCCAGCCACCAACCCTTTGCGTATACCTACAGGCTACATCCAATCGAGGCTCACTCACCATATTGAGGTTGTCGAAGCTGAGAGCCATGGTGCTCACGAAGCACTCCTCCCCGTTCACCATCACGCCCCCCACCGAGTAATTCCCCGCCACCAGCGCCGGCAGCCCAAACCGCGCCTCCAGGTACCGCGCTGCATCGGCAATCACCGCATCCGACACCTGCGTCGCGTTCACCAGCACCGGCATCGCCTGCCCGGCCCCCGGCCCTTCAAACCCCGCCGGCAGCGGCGGCGGCACCCCCCCCTGCTGCTGCTGCCCCGACCCGCTCTGGTTGCCACTCCCACCTCCGCTCACCCCACTGGAAGCAGGAGCAGTAGTAGTAGCAGCAGCTGGGTCTCCAGACGGAGTGCTCATGGCGGTGGTGGCGGCGTTGGTGGAGGTGGCAACGAGGAACCCCTCGCTGCTGCAGATGTACATGACGCTGTTGTCCGTGCCTGACAGCCCCAGGTAGCGGTTCACTGTGCCTGTGGACGACCCCAGCGTTACTATGCCCGTTATGCTTGGGACGGCGGCAGCGGCAGGGGCGGTGGGGGTGGTAGGGGGGGTGGTGGTGGTAGTACTAGTGGTGGGGTTCGTGGTGGTTGTGGGTGAGGGGGTGGACGGGGTAGAGGTAGAGGCGTTGGAGGAAGAGGAGGTGGTGGACTGTGGAGTGACCTGGAAACGAGCTGCAGCATTAGTAGGGGCAGCCGTGACAGCAGCAGCAGATGCCGATGCTGATGCAAGATTACCCGGGCCCGCACTACCAGCAGTAGCAGCAGCAGCAGCAGCCGCAGTAGCAGCAGCAGCAGCTGAGAAGACGTGGGAAGGTCGTTGAGAATGCAAATGGAAATGGGGGTGGAAGTGCCTTTCTGGCAGCGACAACACCTCCCGTGCCACCAATCCATCGCCCTCCCCATCCCCATCCCCTCCCGCAACCCCATCCCTGTCCCTATCCCCATTCCCATCCCAATCCCCATTCCCCAGAGCAGCACCTCCTTGAACCGTTGCATCAACCTTCGTAGTCCCTCCAACCCCTCCCAACCCCCTCCCTTTCCCACTCCCTCCCCCACTCCCTCCCGCACTCCCCACCACCCCTTTCACCCCCACTCCCACGCCCACATCCCACCACTCATCCCCCCCCACGTCCTGCCCAATCGCTTTCCTCTGCTCCGCGCCCCTCACAGCAACCGAAGCCAGCAAGAGCGGTCCAGAGAGGTTCTGAACGGCATTGAAGGACCAGAGCAGCAGGCCGGGGGGACCGCTGGCAACGCTGTCGTAGACGGTTGGGGACCCGATGGGCACTGGCGTGAAGTTCCGTGGTGGTGACTGGGGAAGGGCTGATCCGGTGGAGGTGTTAACTGCCTGGATGTACCAGCGGCCTGGTTGGATAGGTGGGTGGGGAGGGGACGGGGGAGGGGAATGGGGTGGGGGGAGGAGGGAAAGTGGGCGGGATGGGAGGGATGGAGGGAGGGAGGGATGAGAAGCAGGAGATGTAGAGAGGTTGAAGGACCAGAGAAGCAGGCCAGGGGGGCCGCTGGCAACGCTGTCATAGACGGTTGGGGACCCGATGGGCACTGGCGTGAAGTTCCGTGGTGGTGACTGGGGGAGGGGGGATCCGGTGGAGGTGTTTACTGCCTGGATGTACCAGCGCCCTGGTTGGATAGGTGGGGGGGGGGGGAGAGGGGAGGGAAAGTGGACGGGATGGGAGGGATGGAGGGAGGGATGAGAAGCAGGAGAGGTAGAGAGGTTGAAGGACCAGAGCAGCAGGCCGGGGGGCCCGCTGGCAACGCTGTCGTAGACGGTTGGGGATCCGATGGGCACTGGCGTGAAGTTCTGCGGTGGATGCTGGGGGAGGGCAAATCCCGTGGAGGTGTTAACTGCCTGGATGTACCAGCGGCCTGGTGGGGGGGAGAGGGATGGGGTGGGCGAGGGGGAGGGGAGAGGAGGAGAAGTGGACGGGAAGGGAGGGGATGGGTGGGAGGGATGGGCAGGATGGGGATGGGGAAAGAAGAAGGGAGAGAGGGAAGATGGAGAGGCAGAGAGGTTGGTTGAAGGACCAGAGCAGCAGGCCAGGGGGCCCACTGGCAACGCTGTCATAGACGGTTGGGGACCCGATGGGCACTGGCGTGAAATTCCGTGGTGGTGACTGGGGGAGGGCGGATCCGGTGGAGGTGTTAACTGCCTGGATGTACCAGCGGCCTGGTGGGGGGGGAGAGGGATGGGGTGGGCGAGGGGGAGGGGAGAGGAGGAGAAGTGGACGGGAAGGGAGGGGATGGGTGGGAGGGATGGGCAGGATGGGGATGGGGAAAGAAGAAGGGAGAGAGGGAAGATGGAGAGGGATTCTTTGTGTACACCTGAGACACGGCTCCACCAGGGGTGGCTGAGAAGGACTGGGTGACAGGGTCGGTTTGAGAGTAGGAGACGAGGCATCCGAAGTGGGAGGGGGAAGGCAGCACCTCGCCCACCCACCCAATCAATCGACCACCCATGTCTGTACTGCACTCCTTAGACTCTGGTACTGAGAGACGTCTTACAGCCTCGTACTCTCACCTGTGATATCGGTGAGATTCTTTGTGTAGACCTGGGACAGGGCGCCGCCAGGGGTGGCTGAGAACGACTGGGTGACAGGGTCGGTTTGAGAGTAGGAGACGAGGCATCCGAAGTGGGAGAAGTAGCCGAGGAGCGTGAGGCGCGGGAGGGACGACTGGAAGAAAGACCACGCTAGAGGGGCGATCTGAGGGGAGGGACAGGAAGAAGGAGCGAGAGACAGGGAGAAAGTGCAGGGAAAAGAAAAGCATGGGAGGGAGGGGGAGACGTGTTGGAGTATGCCAGCAGGGTCTTCTGGTGGTGGTTGCCTCCTCTCCACCACGGAGGAGAATGCAAGCAGCAGCAGCAGCAGCAGCAGGAGGCAACCAACCACCACCAGAAGCACCACCAGCAGCTGCATCACCACTGCTTCTCCTTGGCTCTTCACTAGCTGCAACTACACTGTCTCCACCCGAGGCTGAAAGAACGCTACCCAGCGTATTACTATCATTCGTATTCCTCTCACCATCGGTACTACCTACCAATGTCACCATCTCTGGATTTCTTCTTGGCTGCAGCCGCAGCAGCTGCTGCGCTTGCTGCTGCATCAGCCGCTGCGCCACGTCGCTGCTTCAACGCACGCTCGTTCCTTTCCCTTCAACGCACCTGCTGCTCGCTGCCCCTGCTTCTCTTAACGCACCTGCTGCTCGCTGCCCCTGCTTCTCTTAACGCACCTGCTGCTCGCTGCCCCTGCTTCTCTTAACGCACCTGCTGCTCGCTGCCCCTGCTTCTCTTAACGCACCTGCTGCTCGCTGCCCCTGCTTCTCTTAACACACCTGCTGCTCGCTGCCCCTGCTTCTCTTAACGCACCTGCTGCTCGCTGCCCCTGCTTCTCTTAACGCACCTGCTGCTCGCTGCCCCTGCTTCTCTTAACGCACCTGCTGCTCGCTGCCCCTGCTTCTCTTAACGCACCTGCTGCTCGCTGCCCCTGCTTCTCTTAACGCACCTGCTGCTCGCTGCCCCTGCTTCTCTTAACGCACCTGCTGCTCGCTGCCCCTGCTTCTCTTAACGCACCTGCTGCTCGCTGCCCCTGCTTCTCTTAACGCACCTGCAGCTTGCTGCCCCTGACTCATTCAACGCACCTGCTGCTGCGCGTACCCAAGCCCCACGACAGACGTGTTGGTCTGCGCCAGAAGGTTCTCCACCACAGAGGCGAAGGCGAGCAGCACGTCTCTGCTTCAACGCACTCCCGTTCCTTGCCCTCCAACCCACTCACTCTCTTCCATGCCATGCCCCGTAACGCACCTGCTTCTGCGCATAATTGAGCCCCACGACGGACGTGTTGGTCTGCGCCAGCAGGTTCTCCACCACGGAGGCGAAAGCCAGCAGCACGTCTCGGTCGCGGTTGATGTAGAGGAGGAACTGCTGGTGCACGCGCACCAGGGACTTTTGCCGCAGCCTGGAGGGGTTCAGAGCGGTGGAGAGGGGTTGAGAGAGCGGTGAGAGCGGTTGAGAGGGGTTGAGAGGGGTGAGTGAATGAGATGCGGAGGCGAAGGCCAGCAGCACGTCGCGGTCGCGGTTGATGTAGAGCAGGAACTGCTGGTGCACGCGCACCAGGGACTTTTGCCGCAACCTACAGGATTTTAGAGCGGTGGAGAACGGTGGAGACAGGTGGAGAGGGGTGGAGAGCGGTGGAGAGTGGTGAAAGGGAGTTGGGGAAAAGCGGGGAGAGTGAATGAGAAGCAGAGGTGAAGGCGAGCAGCACAGCACGTAGAGAGCAGGATCGTGCATTTTACAGCTGTCGCCAGATAGCAAGCTAATTGGCTATTACCAACTCCCAGCCTCTCATCCACGAGTGTGGTGCGATGCGATGCGATGCAGTGCGGTGCAGTCGTGCAACCAGAACTTACTGCGTGGCAATGTCATCGAGAGAGTTGCTGTACATCTTGCCCGCTGCATACCACGTGCTCACACACAGCAGACTTACGAGTCCACTCAGAAGCAAGCAAGCAAGCAAGCAGCTTACTGTGTGGCGATGTCATCAAGGGAGTCGCTGTACATCTTGCCCGCTGCATACCACGTGCTCACACACAGCACCACCGTGACTATAACGAGCAGCGCCTGGGGGAGAACAAGAGGAAGGGTGGGGGAAAAGGGGAGGGAGGGGAACGAGGGATACGGAGAAAGGGAGGACGACGAAAGAATGGGATAAGGACCTTGTTGCAAAGAAACACACACCCACGAGCTCACTCACTCATACAACCGACCACAGAGTAATTGACTATAACGATGGCGGGGACTGTTACACGTAGTACATACATACCATCATTGTGAGGCGAGTAATAACAACAGGGGACTTGAGTGAGTCCAAGAGGAACCTTCCTCCGCCCTTCCTCATGAGCCATCCATCTCCCTCCCTCCCCCCTTCCTCTTCCGCCTTGCTCCCTCCTCCTCGCCCGTTCTCCTTACTCGATCTCCCCCCCTCCTTACTCCTCTTCCCATGCCGCCACGGTTTCTTCTCCTTCCCGCCACCAGCGTTCCCATCGCTACCACCAGTTGCCCTTCCACGCCCGTCTTCCAAAAGCGGCACCGAGAAGCACCCAGCAGCACCGCTCCGAACCGCTTGCCAGGTCTTGCTCCTCCTCCGCCTCCTCTTCCCTTCCACCTCCTCCCCATCCTCCACTCCCTCCCTCTCCCCATTCCCACCACCACCACCAGCACCACCACCAGCAGCATCATCAGCATCAGCAGCAGCAGCAGCAACAACATCATCCTCATCATGCTCTGCAAACCCCATTCGGCAGAATCGCCTCGCACTGAGCATTCCCAGGAGGTCCATCACTCTCTCTCGCTTAGACATGTGCGTCAACACAGGCGAATGCGACCCGTTATTCCACAACCCGCTACTCGCACTGTTCCCCTGGCTGCTGCCGCTGCTGCTGGTGTTACTGTAGCTCCGCCCCTGGAATCTCAACTGCTTTGGATTGGAATGATTATGATTGCTGTTCTTGTCGTTTTCTTGTAGCCCAAAGGGTGACAGCTCTACTCTACCGCCCGCTTGTTTCCCTCCACCGTTCACTGGCTCCGTTATAGTCTGCTCCGTTATTTCGTGTAAGCCTTGGCTGCTACCGCTACCGGGCCCACTCCCCGTTCCGCTGCCAGTCCCGAGTTCAGGAATACTCCCTCCCACGCTACCGCTCCCAACCGCACTGCCGGCGCTTCTTGCGAAGCTATTGAAGCCGCTCAAACTGCCGCTGCTTGGGTCCAGACCTGCAGGGTCCGAACCTGAACGTTCCGAGCCTGGAACTGCCCTTTCCGAACCTACGTCTGCTGCTGAACTTGGACCTAGAGCTTCCGAAGCAGTGTTCCCTGTGTGTGACTCGGTTAAAAGGATCTCCATTATAACTAAAAGGCTCTCACAGCAGCGTCCCCTGCCTGTGGCTGCGGTATGCTAGATATCCCCATAACCCCACTATAATTGATTCAGTAACAGCAACGTTTCCGCTTCTCGCGTATAAATATAAGACATTGTAAGAGGACGATGGCTCACGGATATTAGGACTGCACTTTCGGTCAGTACGTGCGTGAGTGGAGCGAGCGTCGTTAGGTTAAGGTGTGCTAAACTGCTGCTGACGGCTAAGATGCGAAACCGGCAACTAAACTAAGTTGCGGTAGACTGCGACTAAGCTCAGGCACAATGATCCGGTGTGGCTGAGTTAAGGTGCGAAAGGGGGGAGCGTAAATCACGCCGTGTGTTAGACACGCTAATTAAGAATGGGATTGCGATAGTCTACGACTGGATTAAAAGAGTTCAGGACGGGAACGCGACAGTTCATATCGAGACGGAGCGGAGCTGAGAAAAGAAACCGTCCTGCTTTCGCGTGGAAGCACCGCCGGGCACTGTGGAGTTGAATCGTGCAGTTCTATTCACTATACTAACGCGCGTTTTGCGACTAGGAACCAACCGTCAATAACCTAGCATAGGATCCTCGGATCACGTCAAAAGGTCACGGATAGTGACGCCATTCATACTTGGAGTCCAAAAGCTTGTTACTTTGAACGTGCACTCGCTCGCTACTGACCCTGAATTCACATTTAGCTGAACGTTGAGGCTCACTCACACTCTAAGAAACTCTTGTGCTTCGTTGCATTCACTAGCGGCCAACACGGCAAATCAACGGAAAAAGGAATAAGAATCACCTAGATGGTTGGTACATAGGGTTCCGCTTAGTGACACCAACCATGAATGTGTTTGTGTGGTCGTCCGAATGTGATGCCATCTATCTACTCTACCACCGGAACAGAAGTTTTTTTGTTGTGATTGGCTGATTTGGTAGTTCGACAGCAAGGCGGCAAAAGCAGAGCAGACCAGGAAGAGGAAGCGGTGGGGTGGATGGAAGCGGTGTGTGTGTGTGCGAGTGAGGTGAGGAACAGACAGAACGCCCGCCAAGGTTCCGTTCGGTTCGTCGCTGTCTGGTTGGTTTGTTTCCCCACCTCCACGCCGAACCAATCACCGCAGCCGAAGCCTATCGCTTGGGTTGAAAGAGATACGATGGAGGGCTTGGATCGAAAGGCTTGGGTGCTTGTATGTTGCATCGAAGGGTTGCTAAAGCTCTTCAGGTCGGTGTACGAAGCGTGGCTGTCAGCGCTGTCCTACAAGGTGATTTGCTTCTGTGTTGAGAGCTCAAATACTTTCATGTGCACAACGTACACATTTTATCAGGCACCTACTACCACTACACTTCCTAGAAAACAAGTGAACCGGGTCCTTCCTAAGAACCTGGAAGTCTCTTCGTCCTAACCTTTCTCACCGGAACAGTTGCAATTTCGCCTACCAAGGAAGACCCCTCTGCATCGAACCCCCACACGGCTGTATTACACTCGTCCCCTTCAATTGCTATTACTCCACCATTCCTCGGCACAGCTTCAGAAGGTCCATGTTGGCTCATCCATGCAACAAACTTCACAGGACCTCCAGACCCAACCCTTGTTGTGACTTTACCACCACCTCCTGTTTCACCACCCGTATTATCATCACCAATCGCCCCCCCACTTCCTCCCTTTTCCCCATCATCTCCAAGCATCCAAGCACTGGAACCCCCGGAATTCACAGAGGACGAATGAGGCGGGGAGAAAAAACCACGAGAAGGATGCGGTTGTGGCATGTGAAATTCGGAGGGGAGTGGCGAGCGTGTAACGTTGTCTGCTCCACCTTTGGTTACATGACTATTTCTCTGGCACACTACCGCGGGTGTCAAAAATCCCACAGCTTCCCCACTCGCCTCGGGCAACCCAGCTTCTTCTGCTGCGGCTGCTTCTGGAATTGCTAATGATGTTGTGGCTGCTGCTGTCCCTATTATTGCTGCTTCTGAAGTTGCTGCTGCTGGGGAAGACAATGGCGACGGTGACGGTGAATGGGATGAAACTGCTGCTACAGCTGTTCCAGCTGTTACCGAAGCCACCCCTCCGTTCACTGGCGACAGCTGTGACTTTGCCTTGCTCCGTTGCCTCCTGGCAGGAACAAGGAAATCCAAATCATGCAAGGGACCTGCACCGGGACTTGTGGTGGGAGGGGAGACCACTGCCGCTCCTACGGGATACTTGAAGCTCCAAGTCGAAATGCCTGCTGTTTTGGGAGGGGAAGCAGCTGTGCCTTGGGGAGAAGAGTCCGCAAAAGGTTCGGTGGCAGAAACAGCGTTCAGGCTCGAAACGTAAGCACCTGTAGTTCGGACAACTTGACTTGCAATGATATCTCTAGAGATTGTGCTGGGGGCTGGTACTGCTGTGCGTGTTGCGGGCATTGCTGTGCCCGTGACGAGTGCTGCTGCAGAAGATGCGTGCATTCTGCTTCTTGAGCTGAGCTGTGCTTGCGTGATTGGCTGTGTCCTTGCAGCTGATGACGTGGCAGGGGCCCCAACTGGTTTCAGTGACCTGGCTGGACTGCCGGCTGACTCAGCACTGAACGGAGCAGATTCGCCGAAGTTGTGCTGTGCCCTCTGGCTGTTGACTTGCGTTGACTGCATTGACTGTGGTGGTCGCCCTGGGGATGCTGCTGTGTAAGGGGACACATTTGCAGAATGATTTACACGCTTTTGCTGCTGCTGTGTCCGTGCCTCGTTCTGCTGCCGCTCCTGCTGCTGCTCCTGCTGCTAATCCTGCTCCTGCTCCTGCTGCTGCTCGTGCTGCTGCTTCGCCTGCATCTCCTGGTGCTGCTGCTGCTGGAGCTGTGTTAGCGTCAAATCATCACAATCCTGTGCTTTTCCGCCTATCTTGAACCCTGCAACCTCATTCCACCGTTCACCGCTCCCTCGAACCACTCTCTTCTCATTGCCAATTTCCACTCCTCCCTCACCTGCTCCTGCTGACTCTTCATTTGTCGCTTCCGCAACCCATGACCCTAAACCTGCTCCTTCTTCTGTCCTTGCCCCTGCCCCAACCCTTGCCCCAGCCCCTGCCCCTGCTTCATTAACAGAGCTCACATCTGCTCTGGCAGCTCTACTCCTGGTTACTCTGGCGTCCCCCTTTGCCTCTCCTGCCTCCTCGGCCCCGTCTCCTGCTTCCCGTCTAGTCCTCCCTCTCACCACAACTGACGCATCCTCCATGCCCCTTCCTCGCTTCCGCCCTATCACATCTTCTTCACTAACTCGCCTTTTCCTCCCCTTTTCTTTCTTCTCCCTTCTCACCTCTGCCTCTTCTTTCTCGATTTTGCAAGCATGATTCGGCCTCTCTTCCTGCCTCTGCTCCTGCCCCTGCTTCTCCTTATTGCCAGCATGTAAGAACACCCCTTCACCCGCTTCCAATTCCCAAGGATCCTCCATTTGCTCTTCATGACTCACCATTTCCTTCTGCTCCCGCTGCTCCCTCTGCTTCGGATGCTCCCTATGCTTCCTATGCTGCCTCTGCTCTCTCTGCTGCCTCTGTTCCCCTTCAAATGAACTATCAACCCCACCTTCATCCAACTCAATGCCCCCATCAGACTTTCCGCCTGCTTTCCCCTCCCCACCAACCTCAGCCGCCCTAGTGCTGATGTCAGCGCCTCTAGAAAACTTCTCATCCTCGTTACAGTCTGCTTCGGGTAACCCATACCGCACCTCCTGGAGCTGCTGCTGCCGTCTCTGCTGCTGCCGCTTCCTTGCTGCGGCTGCTGGGGAATCCCCTAGGAGGGACGAAGGAGTTGAGAGAGTGGAAGGGAGAGCAGCAGCAGGAGGGGCAGCAGGATCAACACCAGCACGAACGCCCCTCCCCTCTTTCCCCTCCCCTTCTTCACACTTACCTTCCGCCACACTTGCAGTTATCCCCTCAACCCTCTTCTCAAACCTCCCCTCAAATTCCCCCTGCGCCTCCTCCCCGCGGCCCTTCCTCCTCCCTTCCCGTTTCCGCCTCGCCCCTATCGCCTGAAGCCCTGACACGTCCACCCGAGGCAGAGAACCAGGCTCCAATTGCTGCAGCTGCTCCTGCTTTTCCTGCTGATCCTGCAACCCACATTGAAGCTGCTGCTGCCGCGACTGCTGCTGCTGCTGAAACGGAATCCCAGGAGCACCAGCACCTTGTCTCTCCTGTCGACCGCCTCTCAGTCTCAGAGTGACCACCATCGACCCGCCTTCCTCTGACTTCCTCCTCCTCCTCCTCTCCGTTCCCACGCCTCCTGCTGCATTCGCCGCCTCTTCTGTTTTCCCTGCTTCTTCTGCACTCGCCGCTTCTGCTGCATTCCCTGCGTCTGCTGCACGTGCCTCGTCTCCTCCAACCTCTCCTCCATCCCCTCCCTCTCTCAACCGTGCTGCAGCTTCTCTTACTAAAGGCGCCGCCACCCTTGGTGGCATGGCTCGGGGAGGTGTCAGACGGGGAGGTGTACCCCGGGGAGGTGCTATCCAGGGAGAAGTTACTCGGGGAGGTGTTTCTCTAGGGGGTGTTACTTTCGAAAGACTTTCTGTGGGAGGTGTTTTTTTAGCAAATCTTCCACTGGCCGTTCTTGGACCAATCACAGTCCTCTTTGGCTTCCGGCCAACCCGTCTCCCTGCTCTCTCGCCTTGCTCCGATTCCCCCCTCTGCTGTACCGGCTGCTGCTGCTGCTGCTGCTGCTGCGGCGCTTGTTGTTGTTGCTGTAGCTGCTGCTGGTGCTGACCCTGCTCCTGCTCCTGCTGCTGCTGTTGCTGCTGCTGCTGCTGTAGATTTGATACGGAGGGACGTCTCGGCACCGTCTGCTGAGAGCGCCTCGGCACAATCTGCTGGGGCTGCGGGCTGGGAGTCCGAGCGAAGTTGAGAGCGGTTCTCTGGGATGCCAAACGACCCTGCGCAAGGACAGCGAGGAGAGGAGCAGGAGGGACGAAAAGGGGAGATGCGAGAAACACGTAAGCCATGGTATTTGATGACATTCTTCAATCTTTGACATTTTCACGCAGATTGGAACAATTGAAACGGTAATAGCTCACTGCGCTTAATAACTGAATCTATGAAAAAGAGAGCTCCATTTTCTAAAAAAAGAGCGTACCTTCCCGAGGCATTTTTGTAGATGGAAGGCGAATCTGCCGGCTGTTACAGTGTAACCACAATGGTAACACGCAATGATCTCGTTGGGAACGGCCGGGTGTGTCTGGCCGAACACGTCCACTGTCGCCTTAGACGCTCGCTGCATCGCACACGTCGCACACGTCGCACGCGTCGCACACGTCGCAAGTCGTCTCCGTCAGATAGGATCACTATCTTCTTCGTTAACAGCTTATCCTTTAACAAGGTCTCCACTTCTGGCTTTCTCACTGTCCTGTCCGGAAGCTCGCCTCTCGAGAGGCGAGAGCTGAACCCTAAAGCGGCCAGTAGCTTAACGTTTGTTGCAACCTCGCCGTGGTTACGCATCGTAAGCAGACAGGAACTGCTATAGATTCTTAACTGTGTCAAGCGAAGAAACGCTGAGGATTGAAAGATGGTCACTGGAACTGGGTGGGTAAACAATTTCCCGGCGACCGACAAATCGACATGCTAATGTCGTGACGACGTATAATCGTCGAATTCACACTCGAAATCAAAAACAGGGACGGGCGGCGATCGAAAAAAGCAAGGACGCGTCGTGGAAACTAAACAGAGATCAGGATTCAGAAACCAATGGCACTAGAAGGAAGGTTTTCGGCACACCAATACAAGTTTTGGAGGGAAAACGCAGATCAGCCTTCAACTTCAACAAAACAGTCGCACAACAACACCCATGCGACGAGACGAAAAATACATGTTACCACAACTTCCTACACTTCGGTCGTCAAAAGCGTGATGACAAGGGCGAGGGAACATTCGGTTTCGGTATCGCGAGGGATTGTACGGTCGTAAGCGTTTGGGAAGGGCTGAGAAGGATTTTGTGCGGAAAGGCCGTTGAGAAAGGCTGGATCGTAACCTGATGCCAGTTTCCTGTGCTCCTCCCTGGTCCGTACAGGGATCGAGTCGGGTTATGGCTGCTCGGTTGACTTTCACACTAAATTCAGTCACTAAATTCCGTCTCGCGTCGGATACGTTCTAGTCAGTGCTTAGAAAGGCAGCGGATCCGGTGCAGCTGCGTTTCTGATGTCCAGCTGCACCAGCTGTGGCCGAATCTTAGCGCTGTAACGAAACAACTATTAACGATGAACAACCCCTCACATTCGCGTAGCCCGCTGGTAGACATGCGAAATCTGCTGCATGGCCTGTTCTCTCCTTCATTCCATCGCAGCAGCACTCCGGTATTTCCGAAACTTCCTTCTTTCATATCACTGCTATTGACGGGATTCGCGGTGCGATTGCCGCTAAGAAGTACGTAGCGCGAAAGGAGGATGTGCCGCTGATTAAGTGCGGCGTGTGCGAGCTGCTCGCGAAGAATTTGCTGCGGCAAGTGCGGGAGAAACGCCAGGCGGTCGCGCCAAAGAAGGTAGTTGGTGAATTCTCACAGCCACTGAAAACAATGAACATCCTCACAAAGTCACCAACCATTCCCTCCCCGTTCGTTCCGCTCCCTCCCTCTCTCCTCCTCCCCCGGGATTGACGAAATCCCTTAGCTATCAGAGCTGAGATCATCGACATCGACCCCCCACTCTCCTCTCTTCTCCCCCACCCCCCTCCTCGGGATTGACGAAATCTCGCAGCTATCAGAGCTGAAGATCATCGAGCTTGTGGAATCGGCGTGTGACGTCAGCAAGGACGAGGGTGATTGGATCCAATGGCTGGATGTGCAGGAGAAGGGCGACAAGCTCGAGGTGAGGTGCGGGGAAGGAACAGAGGCTTGGGAACAGGTTCGGGATCCGGTTTGGGAACCGGTTTATTAATCAGGACGAGGGAGATTGGATCCAATGGCTGGACGTGCAGTAGTAAGGGGACAAGCTCGAGGTGAGATGCAGAAGGTGGGATATGGGGGAGGTGAGGCGCAGGGAAAAAGCACACTGCAACTCGGGACTGAATGTGGAGCACTGGATCCAATGGCTGGATGTGCAGGAGAAAGGGGACAATCTCGAGTTGAGGTGCAGGGAAGGAACAGAGGCTTGGGAACAGGTTTGGGATCCGATTTGGGGACCGGTTCGGTGACCGTTGGACGAAGGCGATTGGATTCAATGGCTGGATGTGCTGGAGAAAGGTGACAAGCTCGAGGTGAGATGCAGCGAAAGTGAGATGAGGGGGAGGTGAGATGCAGGGACGGTGAGGTGAGGGGGAGGTGAGATGCAGGGACGGTGAGGTGAGGGGGAGGTGAGATGCAGGGTAGGTGGGATTGGAGGGAGGTAAGATGCAGGAGAGGTGGAAATAGAGTGAGATGCGATCTAAGCGACACGTTATTCATGGCTTGTGGTGAGATTCAGAAGAGGCGGGGCAGAGGGAGGTGAGAATAGCAGGAGTAGCTGGTGCTGAAGCAAGCGAAGGTGAGGAATAAACAAAACATTGCAAAGATTGTAACATTTTTTTCGAGATATGCGAAATAAAGATCACCTGGTCTAGTCATAATATTTGGATAATGCCAGGCATAAGGAAGCTGCTATTACTCTTCCAGGACCCCCTTTTTTGGGGATTGCCGCACACCAATTGCAATGCTGTTAAAGCCGCCGCATACAACTTTCAAGTCACCATATAATTTTCCTTGCCTCCACCCACTTGCAAAATTTAGCTCTCCTGGTCAACCCCTCCCTTCGTCCCTCCCCCCCGCTCCCCCTACCCCCCCTTCCCCCGCCCTTTTCCCCACCCCCTCTCCTCAGCTGGAGGCGTTCCCCTACCCTGGGGATTGTCGCACTGAGTGCAACGCCCTCCGTTCTTCCCTCCCCCTTCCCACTTCCATCCCCCCCACCCCCTCTCCTCAGCTGAAGGAGTCCCCTTAAGCTGGGGATTGCTGCACTGAGTGCAACACTCACGATGCCCATACAGTGCCACTTACACCATCCGCGTTTCCATGCACCCACCCACCCACACCCCTCCCCACCCCCTCCCACCTCAGCTGAAGGAGTTCCCCTATCCTGGGGATTGCCGCACTGAGTGCAAGACGATCCAGAAGGCGTGCCAGGAGGTAACGTGAGACAGTGGGGTGTGAGGTGGTGCAAGGAGGGGGTGTGGGGGGGAGAAAACGTGCAATTGGTGTGGTCGTGCCGGGGAGGGAGAAAGGGGAAGGGGGGGTATTGTGCAAGAGGTGATACGCGAGGGGGTGTTGGGGAAGGGCAAGGGGGTAATGTGCGAGTGGGGTGGGGATGTGTGGAGGGGGGTAACGTGAGTGTTGGAGGATGTTTTGGAGCGAGCAGGGAGGGTGGCAGGGGCTTACTTGATCGTCACTACGTGCTGCCAGCGCAGCTAGCGAGGCGGTGACACGTCACACACTAGGAGAATCAATGGCTTATCCCTCCTCGCCAGTTGCACTCACATCCATCCCTTTCCCGTTTCCTTGGCGAAGCTTCTCCTTTCTCAACCTCTGCTACTTTTCCCCTCACCGGTTGCACTCTCATGCATCCACTTTTGAGTCGACTCAAAAGCAGACTTGGCAACGATTCTCCTTTCTCAACCTCTGCTACTTATCCCCCCACTGGTTGCACTCTCATGCATCCATCCGACTCCCGCCACCTCCCTTCCTCCCCTCCTTTCCCCCCCATTTCCTCCTCCCCTCCTTTCCCTTCCATTTCCTCCTCCCTCCCATCAGGTGAGATCAGCATGGGTAGAGAGAAGACGAGATCAGGCTTTCCAGAAACAGATGTTGCATATCTCGTCTTCTCCCTACCCATGCTGGTATCCATTAATGTGTTACACTCGTATCCACCTAATCCTTATCTCCAACCCCTCCCCATCTCCCCCCCCCCCCACCCCCCCCCCCCCCCCCCCCCCCCCCCCCCCCCCCCCTCAGGTGATGGGTTTCTCAGACACGGACGTGGCAGAGCTCCTCTACTCCCACGCAGGTGCTGCCTGACCCGTCACCTGTTCCACTCACATCCATCCCATCCCCACCTCCATCTCTTTTTTTCCTACCTCCCTTGCCCCGATCTCCTCCCCACCATCAGGTGATGGGTTTCTCGGACACGGACGTGGCAGAGCTCCTCTTCTCTCACCCGCCACCATGTATCCAACACATCCCCCTCACCTCCAGTCCCCTTCGTTGCCCCTTCCCCCCATTTCTCCCCACCTACTATCCCCACCATCAGGTGATGGGTTTCTCGGACACGGACGTGGCAGAGCTCCTCTACTCCCACCCGTCCATCCAGGAAGCAGACTTCAAGAAACAGCTGTGCCACGAAATAACTCCCACATGCAGAAAGCAGCCGCCTGCCGTTCCCAAGGTACTATGAGCTAGATAATAGCTTTCTGCACGTCCCTTTGGACATGTAGTGAACGGCTGAAGTACCGTGAAGAGGTGTGTGCGGGCGGCATGTTTGTCAGTTCCCAAGGTACAATGAGCTAGCTAATACCTTTCTGCAGGTCCTTTTTGAGATGGAGAGGGAGAGGGCACCAGCAATGCAAGTGAGCTGTCTATCCCTTTACGCGCCTACTGAATATGCATGTGTTGGTGTGTGTGTTGGTATGTGTTAGTGCATGTCTGTGTGTGTGTGCACGCACACGCGCACACGCGTGTGTGTGCGGTCATTGCCATACATGTTACACGATGATACGCATTCGTGGGATGCACCATGCGTGTATGCCGTGTGTGTGTTCCTGTGTCGCCATTCCACTGCCACCTGCTGGTCTGCAGGGACGCAAAGCAGGAAGGCGCGAGAGGTGGAGAGGGAATGAGATGCAGTGCTTCTTGTGATACATGCGTCTGTATTCAGGTCAGGAAATTAGGACGAGTTACCTGTTGGATCCAGGTCGAAACTGTTTTACTATGCTTCTTGTGATACATGACGTGTGTGTGAAACATGCGTCTGTATTTCCACTGCTACTTGCTGGTCTGCAGGGTCGAAAGCCAGGGGAGGCGTTTCGGAGGAAGAGCAGCACGGAGGTGGAGAGGGAGCGGATGATGCGAGACATGGATTTTAAATCTGAGAAGTACCGTGAAGAGGTGTGTGTCTGGGTGGGCGGCATGCCTTCTCAGCTTGTGTGCGAAGCTAGCTGTACAGATAGGGAGGTGGAGAGAGGGAGCGGATGATGCGAGACATGGACTTGAAATCTGAGAAGTACCGCGAGGAGGTGCATGGGTGGGCGGCATACCTTGTCGGCTTGTGTGCGAAGCCAGCTGTACAGATAGGGAGGGAGGTGGAGAGAAGAAGCGGATGATGCGAGACATGGACTTGAAATCGGAGAAGTACCGTGAGGAGGTGGGTGGGTGGCGTGGCTTGTTGTTTTTTGTGCCAAAATAGCTGAGCACATTGGCAGGGGAGAGACGAAGCGGATGATGCGAGACATGGACTTGAAATCGGAGAAGTGCCGTGAGGAGGTGCATGGGTGGGAGGGCAGGGACATCGAGATCGATGAAGGTTACAGCGGAAATCAAACTTGCATGCATGGCTCGTATTTTCTTGGTGACTTTTGAGTCGACTCAAAAGTCACCTAGGTGCATGGGTAGGAGGGCAGGCACATCAAGATCGATGAAGAATACAGTGGGAATTTAACTTACATCCTTGGCTCGAATCTACTGTACTGCATCAGTCGTGCTTTGAGTCGACTCAAACACGGCACATTAAGATCGATGAAGAATGCACTGGAAATCGAACTTCCATCTTTGGCTCAAATTTACTGTACTGTATAAGTTGCCGGGAAAGCCAGCGTGTATAGGTCCTCTCTCCCTCCCTCCTTCCTCTATTTGCGCCCCCCCTTGTTCTCTGCAGAACCCTCGCGCCCCCCGCATGCCCAAAATGAAGCTGTACTCGCGTGACGACCTCTTAAAGAAGACGTCTGTAGGGGGGACGGGGATGGGCGAGGATGAGGAGGATGAGGAGGAAGGGGAGGAGGAGGATCCGGAGGAGAAGCTAAGGAACGAGTTGGGACCGGGGACGAATGTCGACATGGAGGCGATTCGGGCTGCTTTGGAGGCTGCAGATGAGAAGGTGAGAGGGGGAGGGGGTGCATGGAAGATGCAGTTTGAATAGAAGCCAAGGAACGAGTTGGGACCGGGAACACATGTCGACATGGAGGCGATTCGGGCTGCTTTGAAAGCTGCAGACGAAGGTGAGTGGGGGAGAGAGTGCGTGGAAGATGCAGCTTGAAAAGAAATCAAGGAATGAATTGGGATTGGGTACGCATGTCGACATGGAGGCGGCTCGGGCTGCTTTGAAAGCTGCAGACGAGAAGGTGAGTGGGGGAGAGAGAGTGTGGCAGAGGCAGGGAGTGGAGAAAGAGAGACCAGGATATTTTACGGCTAGCTAAGGAAAGAGTAGGCTCTGGGAATACGCGGGTTTGAATCGAGCAACTCTTGAGGCTGAAGGTGAAAGGGTTAGAGGGGGGGTTGTGAGAAAGAGACATGGATAAAGGAAAAGAGGAAGATATCCAAGGTAAGCTGAGAAGCCTCGAACCTGTTTTCCATGTACACTTATGGTTGACCTGTTACATGGTATGCTGGCGATTTTGTAGGCACAAAAACAAATACTTTCGCTTCTTTGGTTGGCCTGTTGCATTGCATGTTGGCTCGTGCACGTTGCAGGAGAAGCAGCAGGAAGCAGCACTCAACTCCCCTCTTCGTCGAATCTACATCTCTTCGCAAGCCCTCATTCAACGAGCCACTCACACCGGGACCACGCTCATCAAAATATTCCAAGCCACTGCTGCTGGGAAGCACACGAGCAAGCTCATTCGCCAGGTCCGGCGGAGCCAAGCGGTTAAACAAGTGAAGAGAGCGTTGATTAAGGTTAAGAAGAGCACGGTTGGGAAGCAGGTCGTGTCGATGGTGCGTTGGGTGAATGATATGGTTGGTGAGATTGGGGAGAGGGCTCTGCGTATGGGTGAAGGGATTTTGTCTAGGATTCTACCAAGAAATGGGGAGGGGCATGGTATTAGGGATGGGCATGGGGAAGAGTTGTAGTGAATGCTGGTTGTTTGTTTTGTGGTGTGACGCCCAGATGCGACCTGGTATTTGAAATGCGTTTTGGATCCATCCCAATCAGCTGACACTCGTACCATGCACTTTGGATTCAGAGGTACTGTGCTCTCATGTTTGTGCTGGGATACTACTCCCTCGTGTATTCGTCTTAGCTAGTGCAAGTCACTCGTATCGAAGCTGCTTGTGAGGTGGTTATTGCTACCACCAGGCCTGGTAGAAAACAAAGGGCCTGGGTTTGAGGTAGGTCCGGCGTGGGCCTTCAGTTTGATTGGCTCAAAGGAAATGCCGAGCGTCATTCTTTGATGGTAGGGCAGCTAGTAGTGATTGCCTTGCTGCCGTGCCTCGAACGTCACCTCACCTCACCTTCCTCACCACAACACAATTCGCACCGCGCTGCAGCCCTGACGTGGGCAGCCCCTCTGGTTTGACCTCCGCCCCAGGCCAGGTCGCCTGGCTTGTAGCCCAGTGTGCCCCCTCCCCTTTTATTCACAGTCCCGTTCTGTGCCTCCGTTGAGCGAGCTTTTCGCAGCAACTCTCTGCCATCCCAACCAACCCATCATCCTGGCACTGTCCCCCTATTCCGTACCGTCTGTTCTGTCAAGTTCCGTCCCGTCCGTCCCTGCCTTGTTCGCTTCGGTCAACACAATTTTTCCACACTTCCGTCAGCTTGTCTCTCCTTTTCGTCCGTCCCCGTCAGTCACTCACTCCCACTAACGGATTTTCCACTCCGCCAGATATATTTCTCACCGTCCTCCATACTCCATACTCCTGTCACCTCACATCCACTCCATTGTCCTCACCATACTTTCCGGTAGTACTCGTGTAACTCCGTGTCTCAGACTCTCAGGCTTTCCTTCGTGCTTATCGTTCACAGTCATGGATTCGGCGAAAGTGGTGAGTCTGACCACAGAGCGAGCCTCAACTTCGTATGCGCGAGCTGTTTCGTTTTTTCACACCATTCAATCGGGTCACCTTTTTCGATGTCATGCTAATTTACCGTTAATTCTCCTCGCAGGCTCTCTCGTCCACGAAGGACAGCGAGCTGCTCAGAGTTTTACGAAATTCAATCCTCCGTTTCCGTGTGGTACTACTTCGTTTTTCATCCTCCAATCACAGGCTCTCTTGTCCACTAAGGACAGCGATTCCACCGTCAACGGCTTGGAGGCTGGCGTTCGCCGCCTCGGCCTTCCTACGGGGTCCATTCTGGTGCGTCCTCCGAGGCTATCTCCGAGGCTATCTTCGAGGCTATTTCCTTGAATCGTTCCTGTGATTTCTCAGAACTAGCTTCTCTGGGGAATGCCTGAAACCACTTGCTGAACTGTTTTGCAGGATTTTGCTGTGCTGTGCTGTGCTGATTGCATTTTGTCTGTTGGTGCTATGAGGCGTCGCGCAAATATTCAATGTTCTTTTGTCTTTCAACCTCCCGTCATTTATCCGTTACCTGTTTAACAGAACGTGAACCGCAAGGGCGATGACCTGCTGGAGATTAACCTTCCGCGGAATGGTTTTACCTCCCGTTGTCTCATCCTCTACGCCTTTTTTCTGGTAAAGGCCGCGATTTCGGTCACCTGCGAACCGTTTTTTTCTCCTGTCCTTTTCCTCGTGTTTCATTGTCTGAACCTTGTCGTTTTGCCGAACGTACAGCTGTTTTTTGGTAGTTCTGCTGCTGCTCCTTAGCCTTGCTTGCTAATAACGCTTTCCACCTACCCGCTTTGCTGCTCCCAGATCTACGTGGCAATTTTCGCCGTGTTCTTCGTCGACCTTGATGTGCTCACTCCGTCCAACGCGGATTTCTGCTCCATGTGTCCCCTTATTGGCCTCGGCTCATTGGTCCTTATGTAAGCACCTGTTGATTCTTTTGTCGACTCAAAAGTCTATTTTGCTCCATGTGTCCCCTTGTTGGCTTCGGGACACTTGTCCTTATGTAAGCACCTGTGTATAATCTTGGCGCGAGATGGGATGTATTTTAATCTGCACTGTCCCTATCTTTCTAAAAAAACTCACATATTACCCCTCCTTTTCAGTGTTTCCATCGTCATGGTTGTCAAGGCACTGACTCGCCGCCACCTCACCTTCACCCGCTCCGACTTCACCATGACGTCATCTTTCCTCGGCCGCAAGTGCGGCTGCCGCAAGTCCACCGTGCAGGGCAAGGCCTCCGACATCAGCAATGTCAAGATCGTGGTCTCTGGGGTACGTGCACAGAATGCTGTGTGTGTGTGGGGGGGGTGAGGGTGGGTGTTTGTGTTTTGGGGGTGGGGGGTGGGGGGGGGGGGGGGGGGTTGTGGGTGTGGTGTGTGTGTGGATGGGTGTTTGGGTGTGTGTGCACGCGTGCATATCTTGAAATGTCTACATGCGTCGAATGCTGCTGGAAGCTGTCTGACTGTTGTCTTGTCTAGTCCACCCTGTTGCATGCTGACTCACTTCAGGGCCAGTTTGCCGGCTTCATGACGGCCTGCGAGGTCTCGGAGGGCGTTCGCTCGCACCGCTTTGGCATGAACCTGAGTGTGAGCGAGAAGCAGTACCTGGTGCAGGAGATTGGCGACTTCCTCGCCTGCCCCTACTCCACCCAGGTCCAGCTGGCGTAAATGGTGTAAATACAGCACTCGCGGGTGCATGTATAGCACTAGGTTGAATGTACGAGGAGTGGGAGTGGTGGCAATTTGCAGAGCTGGCTGCCCTGTGTGGTGCCATTTCGAGGGCTAGATGCCTGTGTTCATAACGTTTACAGCTGCCGTAGTTGGGAATGCAGCATTGGGAAGATCCGCATGGCTTTCCCATTTGCCGTATAAAGAATGTGATTTATCTTCCCCTGTACAAATGATCCAAATTGGAAATTGTAGAACAACAATGGCAGTCCTGTGACATGGATGCTGCTATGCCTACGCTGTTGCCATTTTCAAGAAGATGTCTGCAATGCTCCATGCTTCAAGAAGAAACTTCATTTACTCTCAACTCAACTGGTGACAAAGTAACAGGAGCATGCCCCGGATTGGCCAACACATCATCCAAATCACTGGAATCACCCTCAAGCTTCGCCTTGAGAAAGGCCACCACCAGCCCAGCAGTTGCCGCCCGGGCTTTTACTTTCTTCGGCCCTCCAGGGCACACATTGACAGTCACTCGCATATCATTGTTAAAATCGGCATGGCCATACCTGGGCATGACAACATGATACGCCGAATCTGCAAGATCCGAATAGTAATACTTGTGGCCGAAATAAGCGGGCGCACAGGGCATGCCGCCTGGTTGGTTTGGAATGGGGCCCAGCCCTGCTCCTATAACGAGTACAGGAATTCCCAGGCTGATGGAGCCTGGTTGGTGGGTCAGTGTAGCTGGAGGGTTTTTTGTTTTGTTTGAAGCGCCATCAACAGGGTCAACCAGAATCACTGCCCCGATTGTGACGGGGGATTTCTTGACTAAGCCCCGTGCGACTCCAAACGCGACCTTTCCGCCTCGACTGTGTCCCGAAATGGCAAACTTGTCCCAATCGGGAACAGCTTTCACTTTGAGGCGAGTGGCGAGGACTTTGGCGAGGCGTTTACGCAGCCAGCCGATGACGTTTGCTGAACCGCGCATCTCTGGCGCTGTATTGTAGCCTGTTGTTACGGGGTACATCTGGGGGTTGGTATAGGTGTAGGGAGGGTGGGGGAGGGGGAGGAGGGCAGGGAGGACCAGGGGGAAAACATGATGAGAGAAGGGTGGTGCAGGGGATGCATTGGAGCCTGTTGTTACAGGGTACATCTGGGTTGTGGCAGGAGGGGGAGGGGGCAAGGGGAGGAGGTTGGTGGTTCGGTGGGGAGGCTAGATGAGAGAAGAATGGGGGGGGGAGAAGCCGTGCTGGAAGAGCAGCACTGCGAACCCACCCACCGCACTAAACCCATCTGTGCGCTGATTGCATACACTCACATACCTGAGGCTTCACGGCGATGTAACTGTGCTTGGCCATGCGTGTGAGCAGCTGCGAGTAGAAGGAGGTTTGGGCAGAGAAGCCGTGTTGGAAGAACAGCACTGTGCAACCACGCACCGCAATGAACCCATGCTTACCCATCTGTGCACTAATTGCACCCATGCACATACCTGAGAAGCCACGACGATGTATCCGTGCTTGGCTGCGCGAGAGCAGCTGCGAGAGAAAAGAGGCGTGGGCGGAGAAGCCGTGTTGGAAGAGCAGCACCAGATGTGCACCCGACCACCGCACTAAACCTATTCCTGCCCATCTGAACACCGATTACACCCACCCACACACCTGAGAAGCCACGACGATGTATCCGTGCTTGGCTGCGCGAGAGCAGCTGCGAGTAGAATTCTACCTGGGCGGAGAAGCTGTGCTGGAAGAGCAGCACCAGGTGTTCACCTACGCACCGCAATGAACCCATGCTTACCCATCTGTGCACTGATTGCACTCATCCACACACCTGAGGAGCCACGACGATGTAGCCGTGCTTGGCGATGCGTGTGAGCAGCTGCGAGTAGAAGGAGGTTTGAGCGGAGAAGCCGTGTTGGAAGAGCAGCACTGGCAGGGCGGTGGCGGAGGCGGGCTTGGGTGACCAGATGCGGAGAGGCCTGGGAGGGTTGCTCTGTGGGGGGAGTAGGGTCCCGGGGGAAGGGGGGCGAGGAGGGAGGGTGTGGGGAAAGAAGAGGTGGGGGAGAGGGGGAAAAAATAGGAAGCAGGGAGCGTGAGATAGGAGAAGCCACTGACGGAAGAGAAGCAGAGAAGGAGGTTTGGGCGGAGAAGCCGTGTTGAAAGAGCAGCACTGGCAGGGCGGTGGCTGTGGCTGGCTTGGGGGACCAGATGCGGAGAGGCCTGGGGGGGTTGCTCTGGTGCGGGAACAGGGTCCGGGGGGAAAGGAAGGAGCGGGGGTGGAAGGCGGAGGAGGTGGTCGGAGGAGGGTGGGGGAGAGAGAAAATAAAGGGGAAGCAGTGAGTGTGGGAGGGGAGAAGCCACTGGGAACAGAGAAGCGGAGAAGCCGTGTTGGAAGAGCAGCACTGGCAGGGCGGTGGCTGTGGCGGGCTTGGGCGACCAGATGCGGAGAGGCTTGCGGGGGTTGCTCTGGGGGAGAACAGGGTGAAAGGGGGGAGGAGAAGGGGGGCGTTGGGGGAAATTGGGCGACCAGATGCGGAGAGGCTTGCGGGGGTTGCTCTGGTAGCAGGGGGAACAGGGTCCGGGTGAGGGGGGTAGGGGGGCGGGAGAAGGGGGTATGGGGGAAGCAGAGAGCGTGGGAAGGGGAAAGCCATTTGGGGGGCTTGGGCGACCAGATGCGGAGAGGCTTGGGTGGGTTGCTTTAATAGGGTGGGGAGAGGTGAAGGGAAGGGGAGGGACGGGATGGGATGGGGTGGAGATGGGGAGAGCGGGAAAGAAGGGATAAAGCAGTGGTATTGAGGAGCATGCTTGGCTGAGTGCGGGAATGGGGTCGAAGGACGAAGAGGAGAAGTGTGTGTAGCAAAGGAAACGGAAAAGAAAAAGAGAAACTGACTGGCACAGAAAACAGAAAGGACGCTCATTCTACCTTGAAAGCGAATCGTTGCCGTTTGAGAAGGAAAGCTCCGCGTTTCACGGTGTACCGTCCGCGGCTGAACACTTTCCCAGGCGTTGCATCCAGAGTGTCAGCTGTCGTGTCAACTGAGGTGGCAGACGTTACATTTGAGCTGGCTGCCACGGCATCATTGGTACTGACCGTCTCGCAGTCCACACGGACAATGGACGCGAGGAAGCAGAGGACAGCTAATGACGTGGCAAGAGCAGTCGGGAGTATGCCACGCGGAAACCTACATTTTGCTGTTCGACGTGACCGGCAATCTACGTCAACCATCTCTCCAACCACGTCAGCAAAAGTGGTTCGCAACAATCGACAACTAATGAAGCTTGTTCAACAGTCGGCCCTACGCTGTGTCAGCCACTACAGCTGCTTCTGAGTGCCGCCAGTGTCAGGAAAACGAACGAAAAACGAGACGGAGAGTAAGGTAGCAGAACTCTGTTATGGTAAGCTAGACGAATGAATAATTGGCAGCTGAACCTAGGGTGCAGGGAAAGTACGAAGAGTATTTGCTAGCTACAGAGAGTACGGAGAAAGTACCTATTTCCGGTAGAGAGTACGGAGGAGGTAAAGAGCATGGAGAGTGGCTTCTAAAAATTACTGGTTGGATGTGCTGCCACGTGGACAGCCTAGGTTTCTGTGCGGAGCGGACTGACGGAAACACAGACATTTCGGTGCGCGCTTCGGTACTGTGCAGCTAGAATATGTAACACTCGGACAGTCTTTTCGGTTCCCCATGGCTTTTTTGCAGGTGCTTTCGGTTCGCGAAGGAGAAAGCTGTTTTCGCCAAACACGTTCCAATGCACCACGCCAAGAAATGGAACATTTCACGTACGCGCTATAAGCTTCGAAGAAAATCGACCAATTCAGCGGGAAATTTTAGATGGCTTAACACCATCATACTCCTAATTCACTACTTGGATACAAGTGGGTCTAATTTGACAGGGCAATGGTCCAGGGTCGCAAGAATATCATCCAGGTTCGCAGAATCACTCAACAACTTGACTTGCAAGAAAGCGACCATCAATCCAGCAGTAGCCACCTGCATAGGTCTCCTTGAACGGGCGCCAGGACAAATCCCATTCGAAGTGCCGCCGACAGGCCTGTTAGATGTATCATCTTAGCAGATGTAGAAAATCCAGTTGGAAGGTGTAGCTCTTGGCTGAGCTCACCACCGCGCCAGCGATCCCCTCGGCTATTGACCATGTCACTGTGCCCGCACTTGGGTATCACCGCATGTACAGCTGGCCCGGCAAGGTCCGAGTAAACGTACTTACGCCCCAGCTTTTCCGGGACACAAGGCGGCCTATTCCTCCTCCTTAACACAGACCCCAGCCCTGCTCCTATAACGAGTACAGGTGCACTGACAGTTAACGAATCAGGTTTCCTAACGAGTGTAGCAAATGTGTTTATTCCAAACCGGGTACCATTGGGATTACCATCTACAGGATCCAAAAGCACAACAGCCTTAAGAGGCACCGGAGAAGGCACTATAAGCTGCCTCAATAAGGCAAAGCAAACAGCACCCCCACGACTGTGCCCGGCAATAGCGAATTTCGACCAGTCGGGAGAGGCAAGGAGTTTGAAGCGGTTGGACAGGGTGGAGGAGAGGTGAGAGCGCAGCCAGGATATGACCCTGGCAGATGCACGGATCTCAGGGATTGCATTCGTGGTGGTGGTTATGGGATACATCTTCGAGTGAGAAAGGAGGAATGGAGAGGGCGAGAGGGAGAAAAACAGGGGGGAAGGGGTGAGGGTGGAGGAGAGGTGAGAGCGCAGCCAGAGGATTTCAGGGATTGCATTGGTGGTGGTGGTTATGGGATACATCTTGGAGTGACAGAAGGTATGAGGGGCAGGTGGAGAGGGGAAAAAAGGGAGGAGGGGGAGGGGACGAGGGGAGAGTGCGGGTGCAGGAGAGTTGAGAGCGCAGCCAGGGCATCACCCTGGCAGATGCCGGATTTCAGGGCCTTGCATTGGTGGCTGTGGTAATACGACATTTCTTTCCTCTCTCATACACACCTGGGGCGCCACAACGATGAAGCCATGAGAAGCGACGCGGGAGAGCAGGCGAGAGTAGAAGAGGGCTTGAGCAGAGAATCTGTGTTGGATGAGCAGCACCAGATGTGCACCCACCCACCCGCTCACCGCAATAGATTCATGCTTACTCTTTTATGCACAGATGTGCACGAACCCACCTGGGGAGCGATGACAATGAAGCCGTGGGAAGCGACGCGGGAGAGCAGGCGAGAGTAGAAGAGGGCTTGAGCAGAGAAAGAGCAGCACCGTGCGTGCACCCAGTCACCGCATTGAACCTATGCTTACCTATTTGCCCTACCCACCTGGGGAGCGACGACAATGAAGCCGTGGGAAGCAACGCGGGAGAGCAGGCGAGAGTAGTAAATAGTTTGGGCGGAGAAGCCGTGTTGGAAGAGCAGCACTGGCAGGGCGGTGGCGGAGGCAGGCTTGGGCGACCAGATGCGGAGAGGCTTGGGGGGATTGTTCTGTGGGGAGAACATGGTGAGGAATGGGGAAAGATGCGGTAGGGGGACGGGAGGGGGGGAGATGGGGTAAGGGGAAAGGCGTGCTGGAAGAGCAGCACTGGCAGGGCGGTGGCGGAGGCAGGCTTGGGCGACCAGATACGGAGAGGCTTGGGGGGGTTGTTCTGGTAGGGAGAGCAGGGTGAGGAAGGGGGAAAGATGCGGTAGGGGGACGGGGGAGGGAATATGGGGTTGGGAAGAAGGCGTGTTGGAAGAGCAGCACTGGCAGGCGGTGGAGGAGGAAGGCTTAGGCGAACAGATGCGGAGAGGATTGCTGATGAGGGGGGAGGGAAGGTCTGCCGGGGAACAAATGAGGGTGAGTGCGATTGGAAGTGAGCGTGAGTAGAGTGAATGTGAGAGTGAGGGTGAGGGATTGGGTGACGCGGGGATTGTGTGCGAGAAGGGAACAACAGGAAAGAGGAGACGAGGAGATTTTCTTTCTGCTAGTTTTGTTTCCTCCTCAGAAACGAGGCCAGTCGCCTCAGGAACATTGTCATTGTCGCTGCTAGCGGGGATACTCATGGTGCGTAACGCGCGTCACGAGTCATTACTACACACAGCAGTTACCCTGAAAAGAACCCGACGGCGCTGCGGCAGCCATTTCGCAGCCACCGGATAGGTTCCCTTGCTGAACACCTTGCCAGGAGTCTCGTCCGCACGGCAAACGCGGGATGGGAGGAGGAGAAAGAGGACGAGGTAGAGAGAAATTACGCGATGTGAAAGCAAGGTTCGCATTGCTGGTGAAATCTAGGCTGGCATGTGGCTGTGCTTAGTGTGTAGTCTAGCTTGGGGCTGGGGAGGAAGTGTCAGTTTTTTTACGGGGTTCCCAAGGGTGGGAGGGAAGTGCGAAAATGTTCTGAAGATATATGTGATTATTAGAGTGGTACAGCCAAGAATCGCATCTGCGCGACGTACGATGCTTTGCTATATCACGAACAAATCATGTACCCTCCAGACCAGAGACCATTCACTGAAAGGACAGGGGTGGCCTAGTGTCGGTGCTCCACGTCGCGTGATTTCTGGCTGGTGCATGAAAGGCGAAATGCCAGCACAACATAACCACCTCCAACGTGCTGGCGAAAGCTTTCGTAAGCAGCATCGGTTTCCTCAGTCCCCTATGGTAACATATTCGCCGCTACCTCGCTTTCGCCTGCTAGTTCGCCTGCCCCAGGACTTCGCCTGTACACCACCGTGTCACACCAGCCCCCCTCGTCGACACTTTCCTTTCCACCACAGCTTCCATGCTTGTCCCCACAGGTATTTTTGAGCGACATGGATAGGCAAATCATTCAACACGAGCTCCCGCATTGCCGCTGAGAAGACGAGACCTCACTCACCGATATCTTAGCACTTTGCAGAGGCGAATCGAGAATTGACCCGAGTTGATCAGGCACGGCCAGCCGCAACTTGCGGTCCCTCTGTGCTTATGCCACTAAGTGCTGAATCAATTCCAGCTATTCAGCTGGCAACAATATGGCGACTTCTCGCTTTGCTTCGCTCATCTCTTTTATCGCGAGCGATAGTAGCAAGGGGTTTCTAGTCTCCTCTCAGGCGGTGAATCGCCAATCCCTCCTACGTCCTCGCGCGATTTCCCGCGTCGCGCTCCTAGTAGTAACCTCGATCCTGGCCGTCTCTTTAGCATCCATCGTGTCCGACGCGTCGCCTCTCCCCGACGCGTCGCCTCTTCCCGACGCATCGCCTCTTCCCGACGCATCGCCTCTCCCCGACGCGTCGCTTCTCCCTGACGCTTCGCCTCTCCCCAACTCCTCGTCTCTTTCCGACGCGTCGCGTCTCCCTGACGCGCCTCATTCGCAGCCAGCTGCCAAATCTCTCCCAGAAACCACTTCTTCCGAATCCATTCCCGCGACAAACCCACCGGCGGGATCTAGCACGCCCGTCCCTGAACCTCTCTCCCCACTCCAACCGCAATCTGTTCAAAGTATCTCATCGCCCTCCTCTAAGTTCCTGCCTTTTGAGACGTCTCAAAAGTTCCTGCCCACTGTTCCCAAACTGATCGGAACGGATGGCGGCACGGCGGGCCTGCCGGCCTGGATGGTCAACGGAACGGATGATGGCACGGCGGCCGCTCTGTCGAAGCTGATAGGAGCGGACGGCACGCCGGGGAAGGTGTTCAGCCGTGGGCCGTATAAGCCAGTGGAGCGATCGTCGATCGGCGGACCCATGTTCATTTTCAAGGTGTGAGAAGCATTGCATTTAACCGCACATCACTGCACACCACCGTACACCATCTTGCACGCCGTGGAAGGTGTTTGGCTTGGGGCCATACAAGATGGTGGAGCGATCGTCTATTGGCGGACCCATGTTCGTTTTCGTGGCGTGCGCAGTACGCTGTCTCACACATCACCAGATGTCACCCAATGTCACCACACGGCACCGCACTCACTCACTCACTCACTCACTCCTTGCTTCTCCGTGTGTCTACTTCCACTCTGCCTCATACCCTCCCTCTTCCCTCCATCCGTCCCTCCTCCTCCCCTCACCCCATCCAGGTGCTACCTCCGCGCCCTATCCTCCTATGGGCGCCTGCCACATCATCACCTAGGTCCTTCCCGGTGGTTGTGTTTCAGCACGGGTGGGCCACTCGCAACTTCTGGTTCGCTGACATGCTCAAGAGAGTGGTGTCGCATGGCTACATTGTCGTGGCCCCTCAGGTGCGACCTTTCTTAGCAGATAGAACTTGCGTGGCTGACACCTCCCTGGCAGATAACAGCTCCCCTGGGCCACTCGCAACCTTCAACTTCTGGTTCGCTGACATGCTCAAGAGAGTGGTGTCCCATGGCTACATTGTGGTGGCTCCGCAGGTAAACACCTCCATGATAGATAACACCTCCCCCTGGGCCACTCGCAACTACTGGATCTCTGACATGCTCAAGAGAATGATATCTGGCTGGTGCCTCCTCAGGTAACGCCTGCAGGATAGATAATACCTCCTTGGCAGACAACACCTCCCTGCCCTCTCTGCTCACCCTACCCTTTCTGCCCCTCCCTGTTCTTTCTGACTGACCCGACCCCATCCCACCCTCCAGATGTACCCTCTCATTGGTCTCACAGGAGCCGTCTACGAGATGAAAGGATCCTGTGACGAAATTCGTCAGCTGGATCAACCCCCCTGCTTCCCATCTCACTAGCATGCGCCCAATTCATCATTTCCTGCTTTTGCATTCCCACCCCACCCTCCAGATGTACCCTCTCATCGGCCTCACAGGAGCCGCCTACGAGATGATAGGATCCTGTGCAGTCACCTTCTGGTTGAATCGAAACACCCTTCCTTCCCTCTAGCCCTCAAACATGCGCAGAGCCCAATTGTTTCCTGCTCTTGCATTCCCACCCCACCCTCCAGATGTACCCGCTCATCGGCCTCACAGGAGCCGTCTACGAGATGAAAGGATCCTGTGCCGACATTCGCTGGCTCAAAGACAATCTCAAGGACTGGCTCTCCCGCCATCCGATCCTCCACCGCCGAACCAGTTCCACTGCCGAACCAAAGCAAAACACTCCCTGTTTTATTCTTTGCACTCTCATCATGCCTTCCAACCCATCCACTCCTTCCTGTGCTTCTTCCTTTCCTCCCTGACCCCATCCCACCCTCCAGATGTACCCACTCATCGGCCTCACAGGAGCCGTCTTCGAGATGAAAGGATCCTGTGCCGTCATTCGCTGGCTCAAAGACAACCTCAAGACTGGCTCGCCCGCCACCCGATCCTCCACCGCCAAACCAGATTCCACTGCCAAACCAAAGCAATGCACCTCCTGTTTTGTTCTTTGCACTCTCCTCCTCATGCCTTCCAACCCTTACCGCTCCTCCCTGTCCATCTTCCCCTCCTGCCCCGACCCCATTCTCCACTCCAGATGTACCCGCTCATCGGCCTCACAGGAGCCGTCTACGAGATGAAAGGATCTTGTGCTGTCATTCGTTGGCTCAAAGACAACCTCAAGGATTGGCTCTCCCGCCACCCGATCCTCCACCGCCGAACCAAAGCCTCGCCCGATTGGTCCAAATTCGCCCTGACTGGCCACAGCCGCGGCGGGAAAGTTGCGTTCGGCGTCCTTCGAAAACTTTTCTGCAAACCGGCGGTGCCGATTAAAGCGCAGTTTTTAATCGACCCGGTTAATGGCGGCGGGGAAAAAAGTTCTCGGAAATCTGGAGATTCGGTTCTTACATACGTCCCGAACTCGATTCAAGTCTCGGCTCCAGTAGCGGTGTTAGGAGCGGGACTGGGAGGTGCATGCGCTCCCGAAGGCGACAACTATAAAGAGTTTTACTCTAATATGGTTGGCCCGGCGTGGAAATTTGTCGTACCGGAGTACGGGCACGCCGATTTTTTCAACAATTGGCTCGGCCCGGGGATAACTTTTATTTCTAAGCACTTTTGTAAGAATGGGCCGGCGAGAAGACCGATGCGGGTGGCGACTGCTGGGCTGATGGTGGCTTTTTTTCAAGCCAAGCTTCTAGGTGACTCGGCGGATTTGGATGATTTAATGGCCAACCCAGGAAACTCCCCAGTTAAGATAGACCAGCCTGTAACAAAACCATAATGTATATAGTTTTGTTAGTCTCATTCATAGTGCGAAATTGAGTATGCCATTTCAGGTTTTACGGTACATCGAAGCCTTTTGTCGCGAATTTTGGACTCACGGTGCTGGGGGCGCGTGAACCTAGGTCGGAAGTGGATGTTCTGCGGAATGCTGCTGGCGGTGCCTGGAGTGTGAAACCTAGGGCGGTGCCCGAAGCGTGAACCGTAGAAATGATTTGCACGGGGGAATTCCCTTTATCTAGCAGGGAAAACGCACGGACTGTTAGTAGAAGCTAGTAGCAATCATGTTCGCCTTTTGTCTAAACCAGTCACTTATCCAGTAGTTTTCCTCCAATGCCGGACTTCGTGCAAGCAATGTCTGCATGGCCTTGTCACAATGTATCTCTTTTCCTTGTTCTGGATTGCCTAAAAAGACGTCAGGCTGCAGCCATTTGGCTCTTAGTCTTACTCGCTAGTCACTCGACGGCTCTCGCAAAGAGATCAAACTCCTCCCAATCCTTGATATCACACATAGAAACCAGACGAAGTCAAATTTCTGACCGCTCTCTTATCCAGTCAATCCTTTACCGCAAGCTGATTGGTGAAGACCGCACCCCCGGAAAGGTCTTCGCACGTGGTCCTTATCGCGTGCTCGAGCGTAGGTTCGGTACAAAGCGTCCTTTCGGCAACCCCAAGGTACAAATGTCTTGATGCCTTTTGAGACGTCTCAATGGTCTTTTCCCCTGGACCCTAACGCGTGCTCCAGCGCAGGATCGCTACTTTTGAGTCGACTCAAAAGCCGAGTCGACTCAAAAGCTGAGTCGACTCAAAAGCCGAGTCGACTCAAAAGCCGAGTCGACTCAAAAGCCGAGTCGACTCAAAAGCTGAGTCGACTCAAAAGCCGAGTCGACTCAAAAGCTGAGTCGACTCAAAAGCTGAGTCGACTCAAAAGCTGAGTCGACTCAAAAGCTGAGTCGACTCAAAAGCTGAGTCGACTCAAAAGCCGAGTCGACTCAAAAGCTGAGTCGACTCAAAAGCCGAGTCGACTCAAAAGCTGAGTCGACTCAAAAGCTGAGTCGACTCAAAAGCTGAGTCGACTCAAAAGCTGAGTCGACTCAAAAGCCGAGTCGACTCAAAAGCCGAGTCGACTCAAAAGCTGAGTCGACTCAAAAGCTGAGTCGACTCAAAAGCTGAGTCGACTCAAAAGCTGAGTCGACTCAAAAGCTGAGTCGACTCAAAAGCTGAGTCGACTCAAAAGCTGAGTCGACTCAAAAGCTGAGTCGACTCAAAAGCCGAGTCGACTCAAAAGCTGAGTCGACTCAAAAGCTGAGTCGACTCAAAAGCTGAGTCGACTCAAAAGCCGAGTCGACTCAAAAGCCGAGTCGACTCAAAAGCTGAGTCGACTCAAAAGCCGAGTCGACTCAAAAGCTGAGTCGACTCAAAAGCTGAGTCGACTCAAAAGCCGAGTCGACTCAAAAGCCGAGTCGACTCAAAAGCCGAGTCGACTCAAAAGCTGAGTCGACTCAAAAGCTGAGTCGACTCAAAAGCTGAGTCGACTCAAAAGCTGAGTCGACTCAAAAGCTGAGTCGACTCAAAAGCTGAGTCGACTCAAAAGCTGAGTCGACTCAAAAGCTGAGTCGACTCAAAAGCTGAGTCGACTCAAAAGCCGAGTCGACTCAAAAGCTGAGTCGACTCAAAAGCTGAGTCGACTCAAAAGCTGAGTCGACTCAAAAGCTGAGTCGACTCAAAAGCTGAGTCGACTCAAAAGCTGAGTCGACTCAAAAGCTGAGTCGACTCAAAAGCTGAGTCGACTCAAAAGCTGAGTCGACTCAAAAGCTGAGTCGACTCAAAAGCTGAGTCGACTCAAAAGCTGAGTCGACTCAAAAGCTGAGTCGACTCAAAAGCTGAGTCGACTCAAAAGCTGAGTCGACTCAAAAGCTGAGTCGACTCAAAAGCTGAGTCGACTCAAAAGCAGACGCATGGACCCTATCGCGTGCTCGAGCGCAAGATCGCTACCTCGTCGTTCCTCCCATGAACACTCTCCTCTGAGCACCCTCCCCTCCCCATCCTTTCTTCAGTTCGCCCCTCCCAAGCCTCTGCGCCTGTGGGCGCCAGTCTCCTCCACGCCGCTCTCCGCGGCCCTCCTGCTCTTCCAACACGGCTTCACTGCTCTCCGCCTCGTCTTTCTTCCCACTAACTCTCTGCGCGGAGCCGTCTCCCTCCTCTCTCTCTTCTCCCCCTCCCCTCTCCAGTTCGCCCCTCCAAAGCCTCTGCACGTGTGGGTGCCAGTCACCTCCACCCCACTCTCCGCTCCCCTCCTGCTCCTCCAACACGGCTTCACTGCTCTCTACATACTCTTCCTTCCCACTAACTCACTGCGCTGAGCCCCTCTCCCTCCTCTCCCTCTCCCCACCCTCTTCCCTCCAGTTCGCCCCTCCAAAGCCGCTGCGCCTGTGGGTGCCAGTCTCCTCATCGCAGCTCTCCACGCCAGTGCTGCTCTTCCAACACGGCTTTGCTGCCAAAACACATTTTTACTCGCAGCTGCTCTCGCGCATTGCATCGCATGGCTTCATTGTCGTGGCTCCCCAGGTAGGTGTGAGTGTGGGCGCGCGCACGCATGTATGTGTGTGCATTCCTGCAAATATGCTGCAAGCACTCTTCCAACACAGCTTTGCTGCAAAAACGCACTTTTACTCGCAGCTGCTCTCGCGGATTGCATCGCATGGCTTCATTGTTGCGGCTCCCCAGGTGAGGGTGTTAAGGTTGTGGGAGGGTGTGTTAGAGTCTGCCTGTGTGCGGGTATGTAAGGTTGTTGTGTGTGCATTTACTCGCAGCTCATTTACTCGCAGCTCATTTACTCGCAGCTCATGATATCCACAGCCTCTCTCTCGCATCGCATGGCTTCATTGTTTCGGCTCCCCAGGTATGCTGTAGGATCTTATGATTAACACACGCATTCTCCCCACATGAATTTTATGAGTCTTATGAGTGCCCAGCTGTTCTCACTCACAATCATACTTGCTCACTGTTGTTGCCTCCCCAGATTCATTTGCCGTCCATTTTGTACCTTCCTGTTGCATGTTTGCCTCGTGCCCAGATGTACCCCTTTATAGGCCGATCCAACACAAGGCCGGAGATGAGAGGCAGTGTACGCGTGATTACATGGGTAAGAAAGAACCTTGACACATGGCTGCAACAGAAGAAGCAGACACGAGCATTGTCTCAGCCACAACAGCAACTTCATGCAATCGCCTACCCACCCTCTTCCTCCTCCTCTTCCTCCTCTTCTTCCTCCTCCTCAACCTCCTCTCACCCATCTTCGTCATTCTCCCCTTCTCCCTTTAATCTTCCTTCTTCCCCATCATCATCACCCAATAATGCCTCCCCCACTGCCACCCACCCTTTCAAAAACACTGTCCCTGATTGGTCCAAATTTGTCCTATCAGGGCACAGCGTGGGTGCCAAGGTGGCATTCGGTGTAACACGTAACATCGTATCGCCCTCTTCCCCTGTCCCCATTGCCGCCCTTCTCCTTTTCGACCCTTCGGACGGCACCTCAAATACCTCCAAAAACGTGCCGCCCGTTCTCGTGCACAGACCCAACTCCCTCGTCCTTTCTGCCCCAGTTCTGATCGTAGGCTCGGGCCTGGGTCCGATCCCAAAAGGTCCCGGGCTGCCCGCCTGCCCGCCCAAATATTTCGGGCACAAGACATTTTTTTCTGACCTAGCGGGACCTGCCTATTATTTTGTAGTGCCCAAGTACGGGCACTTGGATTTTTACGATAAAAATATAGGGATTTACGGGGCAATGAGTGAGGTGGCTTGCAAAAAAGGCCCTGCAAAACGGCCGATGCATATAGCAGCATCGGGAGCTGCTGTTGCTTTTCTGAAAGCTACACTGCAGGGAGACTCTGCAGATTTGGATGATATAATGAGTAATCCTGTACACTCTCCAGTGAGACTTGCTACACCTCAGTCTAAAGGGGCTTGATGCATGGCAAGAAATCATACCACATAAAGAAAACCTTCTGATTTTTAACTGTACAATGTTCAAACAAGCTTTGGAACTTCAAGCATCTACAATGACTACTAGCTAAGGACAGACATGGCCAGCTAGACCTCTACAGCAGAAGCTGAGAAAGCCACTAGCGGGCAGCAGCAGCCGCAACTGTAACAGTCGCTGCGCCGCATAAAGCGGCAGGTGCTCCTTCAGGTGTTTCTCCAGGCGATTCCAACTGCCGCCCCACTTTCCACCCCACCTCTGACAGCACCACAGGAGAATGCTCAGGGTGCTGCAACAGATCACAAAGGTCGCTCACATCACTCCCGTCTGAAGCTATCAGACCACCACAGCCCCCGTCCCTGTTCCCCATAGCTGAGCCACTCCCAATGCCTCCACTCCTCAGGTACACTCCCTCTAGCCTTAGCCTCTCCTTCTCTAGCTCCTGCTGCTGCTCCTCCTGCTTCTCCTCCTGCTGAATCTGCTGCTTCTGCTTGGTGCCTTGCTCCTGAACACTCCGCACCATCGCAGCAGTTGAACCATCAGCTGCAAGATCAACCACAGTTGCTACATGAGCTACATCAGCAGCAGCATCTGTCACTAACCTCTCCAGAGCCTGCCTCTCCTCCTCTAACCTCCTTACTGCCTCTCCCACAACCCCTCTATTTCCCCTTTCCACCTCCATCCCACTCCTCTCACTTCTCACTCCCCTCACACTCCCTCCCTTCTCACCATCCCCACCTCCACCCCCAACCACAGCTTTTAAGAACGCCACTGCAAGCCCTCCAGCCGCCACACGCATCGGCTCCCTGGCAGGCCCGTTATTGCACACTTTGCTAAACAACGGTCCGTAAATCGGACCCAAGTCATCATCGTAAAAGTCAGCGTGGCCGTATTCGGGCACCGAAAAATGGTACGCCGGGCCGACCAGGTCCGAGAAAAAAACTTTGTGCCCGAAATTCTCGGGCGCGCATGGGTTACCTTTATCGGAAGGGGATTTGCCGCCTCTGGGAATGGGACCCAGGCCTGAGCCTATAACGAGTACAGGAGGGTTGTTTAACAAAGAGATGGAGTCCGGTTGATGAGTGAGAGTGGGAGGATTGGTGGCTATAGAAGCGGCTCCATCTACAGGGTCAAAGAGTATTGCGGCTTTAATAGGCACCGGTAGCTTTGCCTCTATGAACCCACGCTGCTGCTTTGTAGACTTCTGCTGTTTTGTAGATTGGAGTACCTCCCCCACCAGCTTTCGCAAGATTCCAAACGTCACCTTCCCTCCCCGGCTGTGGCCTGCTAGCACTAGCCTTGACCAATCAGGCTGCGCCACCGCTGCCTCTTCTTCTGCTGCCCGTTCATCTGCCCAGCCACCTGCTTCCTTTCCAGCTGCCCGTGCAGCACCAAGAGCAAGAGGCTTGATTCGTGCATGGATTAGAGCTTGCAGATTGGTGTGTAACCAGTTGATGACTTGCACAGCATCTCGCATCTCTGGCAGAGTGTCGAATCCTGCTAATATGGAGTACATCTGAGGGGGTGGGGAGGGTGGGAAAGTGGGGTCCGGGGAACGGGAGAAAGGGGAGAGGGAGGAAGGTGAAACGCATGCAGGATTTACCTGGGGAACATGCACTAGCAATGTTGTACCAATAGCAATGTTTGTTAGTTTTGTTGTGTAGGAAAGGTGACATCTGGGGAGCCATGTTGTGTATGTTTTGTCTCATGCGAGGAAGGTATTATCTGAGAAGCAGGTGCTATCCAGGAAAATCGTTATCTGAGGGGCCAGGACGATGGAGCCATGAGAAGCTATTCGCGAAAGCAGGTCGGAGTAGAAGTAGCAACGCAGGCGTACATGGGGAGGGTGTTACCTGTGGAGCCACGACAATGTAGCCATGAGAGGCGATTTGCGAGAGCAGATCGCAGTAGAAGTAGTTCTGTCTCATGCGAGGCAGGTGCTACCTGGGAAAGGTGGTACCCTGAACAGGGTATTACATGTGGCGCCACAACAATGTAGCCATGGGAGGCGATTCGCGAGAGCAAGTCGGAGTAGAAGTGGTTCTGTCTCATGTGAATCAGGTGGTACCTGAGGAAGGTGTTACCTGTGGAGCCACCACGATGTAGCCATGAGAGGAAATAGTCGAGAGCAGGTCGGAGTAAAAGTAGTTCTGAGATGCAGGTGTTACCCAAACAGCAGGTGCTACCTGAGGAAGCTCTTACCTGTGGAGCCACGACGATGTAGCCATGAGAGGCAATTCTTGAAAGCAGGTCGGAGTAGAAATAGTTCTGAGATGCAAATCCGTGCTGAAACACCACCACTGGCACCTGCCAGGTGCTCCTCTGTTGCTGCCAGGTGTTCTCGAGCTTCTCATCAGGTGAATCCCCAGGAGCTGCTTCAGCTTCGGCCTCGGCAGCAGAAACAGCACCACTAGAAGCAGCGTGGGCAGAATCATATAATTCGCTGCTGGGTTCTAGGACCGGGAGCCAGACGCGGAAAGGCTTGGGTGGCGGCTCCTGATTGGACGGGATGGGAACGGAACGGATGGAACGGGAACGAGAAGGCGGGGCATAATGAGAAGATTCGCTGCTGGGGAGATCTAGGACCGGGCGCCAGACGCGGAAAGGCTTGGGTAGCGGCTCCTGATTGGATGGGATGGGAGCGGGACGGGACGAGACCGGGATGAGACGTTGCCAGGAAGAACGAGAGGTTTGAGATACACAGCGAGTGCCAGTGATCCGAGACACCCTTAAAACGCGATCCGAGCCTCGTGATGCACGTTTGGATCCATGCCCAAGAAATATGTATCCATTCCAGTCCCAAGGTCGCACGCTGTCCTCCGCCACTTGAAACAAGGCGTTTTTGAGAAAAATATGGGTTTCGGAAATTCTCAATAACCAGATTGTCTCATACCTGGGCGAACGAGCAGTCCCGAGGTCGCACGCTGTCCTCCACCACTCGGAACGGGCCGCGACTGAAAACCGTCCCTGGCGTGCCGTCCGCCGTCAGGTTGACGAAAAACGTCGGGCTCTTTTGACGGACGAACGCGACAGCGCAAGTGACCACCCCCACGCCGATCGCTGCCGCCCAGAACATGCCGATTCGGGGCATGGACGGCATAATTGCGACAGATTCACTAAATCGGGCAGCCTCTTGCTGCACGACGGACGAAGCACCGTGATGGCGACAGATTCACTGAATCTGGCCGCGGGTTGGGCCGCGACGGTGAATTATATCGTAATTCGAACGAAATTACTTTGTTTGCTTGGACGCGAGACTAGGTGATTAGGAGTAGGCTTCGAGTGACGCAAGCAAGGAAATGGTGTGGCAAGGGATGTGAAGGCAAGGCCTCAGAAGTCAAGACGGAAGCTGTTTGGATACAAAATTGCTGCCGTGCAGAAAAGGTGTTCGAATTGTACTCGTCACAAAGCTCCGCGATATTTTCTCAATTTACTAAATTTTATTTAACAGAATGCTACTCATCACTAAGTTTTTTATTGGCTTATTTTTCCTTTTCGCATGGTCCTCTTACGGGGGATCCACTAGTTAGTCTGACAAATGCTTGCTCTTGTCCCCCTTTCGAGAGAATCTATGCAATCAGCAGCTGGCGACAGGTCAATCTGAGCCATTCCCATCGCCACGTCATCTGCAGGTCGAAAAGCCGAGCCCGTTCCCAGCTGGGCATCGCCGAAGCGCGCCTAGATGGCTCAACATCAAACCAAACCGCGACTCGTTGCATGTCCAATGTGCGACTCGATTCGCGACTCTCGCCAGCTTGCTATGCAATTTTCTTCAGTTCCCGCCTCGAGGGGCAACCGAGCGGGGGGGGAACGAGGGGAGTACAGTAGCAGTTAGGGTCAGGCGAGTGGCGGGGGAAGTGAGGGAATGAGCGATGAGGGGCGAGAGGCGAAACGGGGAGTCGGGCGAACCGCACGAAGCAAGTTGCGGGCGCGGGGAAACGAGATGCTGGTTTTTGGCTGCGCCTATCGGCGGCTCCCCGCGTCCACATTGTACACCACTCCGCGACGAACCTACCAGCTCACTCGACCTGCTGCTGCTGGTGCTGCTGCCAGTACTAGCAGTGCTACTGCGCCGAGCGTACGGTGTGATCCGCGCGCAGATGGATTCCGCCATCTGCGCCCACGCGCTCGTTGCACATAAGCAGCAGGAGGGCCGGTGCGCCTGCCCGCGGAAAGGGGAATGCGTTTTGAGGGAGTCTAAAAAAAGGAGGGGTGTGCCTGTGGCCTGTACACAGGGAGGGGCACAATGTGACGAGTTATATGAAGGGAGAGACGGCAGCTACGAATATAAAACGGAAACGCATTTACGCTCTCGTCCTCTCTCCAGTGTTTCATTTCCGCTTCACGCCAGTTGAAGATCAGGCTGTTATAGGGAGCTGTGGTGCTAGCTGTGTGAAACATTACCCAGGCCCGTGACTTCGAGAGCCAAATCGTCGATTAGAGCGCTTGGTTCTGCCAGGTCCTGTCCAGTTCTGCCAGAGTTTTATCCGGTTGTCTCAGGTTCCGTCCATCGCCTTTTATAGTTAAGTAATCGTGCTTGCCGAAGCTTTACCTTGCTGCCATGCTGCCTGGAGCAGGGGGAGGGGGCGGAGGAGGGGGAGGCGCGGGGAAGGATGGCAAGCGGAAGATGTTTGCCAAGAGCCCTCGCTCCTTCCACCACTGGGTCAGCCCGCTGCTGCGATCCCTGCAGGTAATCTCTTTACCTTGGGATCCTGGTATCCTTGATAGCTCTGTTTTGGTGCGCCTCAAGAACATGTAGCACAACAAGGAACATGTTTGTTTACCTCTTCCCAAACCTCCTCTCCCAATCGTCCTCTCCAAACTCTCATCTCAATCCCCTTTACCCACCCGTCGCTCACCCACCCCTTCCCCTTCCCCCCCCTTCTCCCCAGCTGCTTGCAGCGGTGTGTGTGCTGGCAGTGATGCTGACAGCCAAGATTGCCCGTTTCCACACAACCTCAACCCACCACAACATCCACCCTCTCCGCTGCCGTTCTCCTTCCTCTACCCCCCTCTCCCCCCCCACCCCAGCTGTTTGCAGCAGTGTGTGCGCTGGCAGTGATGCTGACAGCTAAAGTCGCCGGAATAAGCTACTCCTCCTTCCACGCCTTCCGCTACCTCATTGCTGCCAGCGTCATCGCCGCCTTCTGGGCTCTGCTGCTGCTCCTGGTGGTGGTGTTGGTTCAGCTGCTGCTGATTCTACTGCAACTCCCTTCTCCCCCGTTTACGTCCTGCCCTTTCCCCTTACCCCAGCTGTTCGCAGCGGTGTGTGCGCTGGCAGTGATGCTGACTGCTAAAGTCGCCGGGATAAGCTACTCGTCTTTCCACGCCTTCCGCTACCTCATTGCTGCCAGCGTGATCGCTGGATTCTGGGCGCTGCTGCTTCTACTCATCGATCTTGGACTGCTGGCTGCAGGAATGACCTCTCACTCCGCCATCTTCAAGATTCTCAGGATCATCGGAGATTTCGTGAGTCTCTTTGTCTTTTTGGCATATGGAGATGCTTATAACGAGGATTTTCGTCTCTGCTGCTTCTTCTCATCGATCTTGGACTGCTGGCTGCTGGTATGACGTCTCACTCGGCCATCTTCAAGATATTGAGGATCATTGGCGACTTTGTAAGGCATTTATTCCTTTTGTGGGGATGCTTATAACGAGGATGTTGGTCTCTGCTGCTGCTGCTGCTTCTGATCGACCTTGGGCTGCTGCCATGACGTCCCACTTGGCCATCTTCAAGATATTGAGGATCATTGGAGACTTTGTAAGTTAATCTGTTGTCTGGTGGGGATGCTTATAACGAGGGTGCAGGGCTCTGTGGCTTCTGCTGCTGCTCCTGCTGCTGTTGCTTCTGATCGACCTTGGGCTTCTGGCTGCTGGCATGACATCCCACTCCGCCATCTTCAAGATTCTCAGAATCTTTAAAGACTTGGTAAATCTTTTAGTATTTATGGCGTATGGGGATGCTTATAACGAGGATGTTGGTCTCTGTTGCTGATGGACCTTGGCCTGCTAGCTGCTGGAATGACGTCCTACTGAGCCATCTTCAACATCCCGAGGATGATTGGAGACTTTCTAAGTCTTGTGATGGACTTGTGGGGACGCTTATAATGAGGATACAAGGCTCTACAGCTGCATTTGGTATTCCTGTTCTTCCTGCTGCTCCTGCTGCTGTGGCTCTTCTGCCACTCAAAACCATCTCCTCGACTGCCTCCTGATAAACCGCTTCTCGTTTTTGCTGTTTGTTTCTGATTTTCACTCTTAATTCCAATTTCCTTGCCCACCTACCTTGCTTCCCATCCTTGCTTCCCCTCCTTGCTTGCTCATGCATCATACAGATAGCGGCAGCACTACTGCTGTCAGCAGGTGCAGCAGCAGCAGGAGTAACTACCTTTAACGACCAGGGTGGTTTCCCCTACCAGCAAACAATTTGCGAGGGTAACACCCCCTGGAATTTCTTTTGCGGAAGATCCAAGGCTGCAACTGCCATGGCACACATCGGTTTCTTCTTCTTCCTGCCATCCATTATCCTCGATATTGGATCACTTGCTGTGGAGTATTACGAGGCTGTATAAGGATGGTCAATCTACAGTCCACACTGCAAGGGGCAAGCTACAGTACACCAATTAAGGTGGTGGCTTCTTGTTTAGCTTATACTGTTTGATGTGCAACAATATTATTTTCTCTACTAACAGAAAAGCGTAAACTGGTCTACACTGAATTCTACTGCAACGAATCACAAGTAATCAATGTTCACACATGGGTTATGCTCTATCTCATATCTTGCTTTTGGGTTAATCATAGCCACGTCTCCCAACCCAATGATGAAACATGACTATAATGTGGCAATGCTAACACAAATAAATACTGTAGCATCGACAAGCCTGCCGAGGCAAAACCAAATTTTGCTCGCCCCATTTTCACTGGAGACCAGAATCTTTCCTTCCCACCCCTTGCCCCCCTCCCCTCTCCATTGCTGCTCTTTCACAGGTGTACAGTATTTCCTTTTCCTACCTTCTTGTCCCCAAAAGTCTCCCCTTTCCACCCCCCCACACTAGTGCTTCCCTTCCTTAGCACCTGCTCACCCTAGCGCTGCCCATCCTTAGGAGTGATATAAAGCAGCGACGACCCTGCCTCGACATCCCCCCTCTCCACCCCTCCCTGTCCCGCCCCTCCTGCTCCCCTGCCTCCTCCCTCGCCTCCCCCCTCCCTCTCATGCCCTGACCGCCCAAACTACCCTGACAACAGCTCTAGAGGCGCCCACGTCCCACCCCCACTGCTGCCCTGCTAGTGCTGCCCATCCTTGGGAGTGATATAGAGCAGCAACAACCCTGCCTCTACATCCCCCCTCTCCGCCCTTCCCTGCCCTGACCCACCCCCACTGCTGTCCTGCTAGTGCTGCCCATCCTTGGGAGTGATGTAGAGCAGCGACGACCCTGCCTCTACATCCCCCCTCTCCGTCCCTCCCTGTCCCGCCCCTCCTCCCCTCCCACCTCCCGCCTCCCTCTCACGCCCCGACCGCCTCCCAAACGACCCGGAAAACAACTCTAGAGGCGCCCACGTCCCGCCCCCAGTGCCCTGCCTTCCACTCCCCCCCGAACCACTCCCAACCCCTCCACTCCCCATCGCATCCCCTGCAATCCCCGAGCCACCACTCAGCGCCGCATACCCCGTGCCACCAGTCTTCGGGGTCCCCGCCTTCGCACTCCCAGCAGCTGAGTCAGCAGAATCAAGCGGGTCAAACAAGTCAACGGCCAGCTCGATACTCCCCTCCATCGTCCTCACTACCTCCAGCATCGACGGGCGGCTATTCGGATCCTCCTTCACACAATCCCTCGCGATCGTCGCCAGCTCAATCAACTCCGATTGGTTGAAAAACCCGCCGAGCGCCGAGTCAACCATCAGCGGCATCATCTGGGTATCTTCCAGGAAAGGGGCGGCCAGACTGGTGATATGAACATCCTTCATGGCTTTCTGACCAGTAATCAGCTCCAGCAGAACCACTCCGAACCCATAGATATCCAGTTTTCGCGCGTCCGTGCGGGTGACCACCGGCTGTAGAAGCTCGGATTCTGTCTCGCTGCTCCCGTCGCTGCCGCTGCCAACAGCAGTGAGGCTGCTGCTTGCGGAAGCGTCGTCTCGGCCCGCTGCTGCTGCTCCGCGCTGCCGACGGTTGGGGCGGCGGCGGGGCGGCTCGTCAAACGCAGCGTGGGATGTGGAGCCGCGTGCAAGACCGAAATCAGAGAGCTGGGAAGGGGAAGGTGAGGGAGAGGGGGGATGGGGAAGGAAAGAGAGAAGTCACTTTGAGTTGTGTGCTGGCAGAGTCCTTGTCATGTCTGGCCGTTGGTTGTCAAATGCAGCTCGGATTCTGTCCCGCTGCTGCCAACAGCCGCTGCTGCCAACTTTTGAGGCGCCTCAAAAGTCGTTGGTTGTCAAATGCAGCTCGGATTCTGTCCCGCTGCTGCCAACAGCCGCTGCTGCCAACAGCGGTGAGGCTGCTGCTTGCCAAGGCATCGTCTCGGCCTGCTGCTGCTGCTCCGCACTGCCGGCGGTTGGGGTGGCGGCGGGGCGGCTCGTCAAATGCAGCGTGGGAGGTAGAGCCGCGAGCAATACCTAAATCGGAAAGCTGGGAAGGAGTGAAGGGAAGGGGGTGGGGCGGGAGGGTGGAGAGGAATTTCCATGTGTGAGGCTCGTGCTCAGGGAATTCCTTAGGGTAAGACGTCTCAGAAATCTTTGTTCCTGGCTCGTGGCAAAGGCTGCTTGCGGAGGCATTGTCTTGGCCCGCTGCTGCTGTTCCCCGCTGGCGGCGGTTGGGGCGGCGGCGGGGTGGCTCGTCGAATGCAGCGTGGGAGGTGGAGCCACGTGCAAGACCGAAATCCGAGAGCTGGGAAGGAGGGAAGGGGAGGAGGGGAGAAGAGAGAGAGGGATTTCAATGCATGAGGATGTGTCTTGAGACGTTTCAGAAGTATGTGTTTCTGGCTTGTGGCAGAGCCTGCTGCTGCCGATGCCGGTAAGGCTGCTGCTTGCTGAGGCGTCGTCTCGGCCCGCTGCTGCTGCTCCGCGCTGGCGGCGGTTGGGGCGGCGGCGGGGTGGCTCGTCGAAGGCAGCGTGGGACGTGGAGCCGCGAGCAAGACCGAAATCCGAGAGCTGGGAAGGAGGGAAGGGAAGGGGGTGGAGGGGAAAGGGGAAAGTTTTGTCAGTCGACTAATAAATCGCTGCCGCCACTGCTGCTGCTGCCCCGTGCTGGCAGTGGGTGCCATTAAGACACAGTAAACCATGATGTGGGGTCACGCTGGCGCTCATGTCAGTTGGGAGGAGAATATTGGGAGGTGACGGCGCGGTGCATGAGAGGCCACTCCAGGCCAGAAATGCGAAGGACGAAGTAAGTACCTCGGTGGCATCGTGAGCACAACCATGAGAGGGATAATGCACACCTTGGCACTCATGTCAGCGGACAGGAGGATGTTGGATGAGGTGACAGCACGGTGGACGAGAGGCGGGTCACAGCCATGGTGGAGGAACGCCAAGGCGGAGGCCAGGTTGACTGCCACGTGTACTCGCGCATCCCAGGGCAGAGGATCAACGTCAGAACCTGGTGGTAAGGAGGACGGTGGAAGGGATGGGGACAAGAGAAGAGGAGATTAGAGAGAAAGAGAGCAAATGTGTGTGTGGGGCGGGCAAGTCGGACAGCACGGTGCACGAGAGGCGGGTCACAGCCGTGGTGGAGGAAGGCCAAGGCGGACGCCAGGTTGACTGCCACGTGTACTCGCGCATCCCAAGGTAAGGGATCCACGTCGGAGCCTGGTGGGATGTAGGGATGGTGGGGGATTGAGGGATGCAAGGAGACGACGAGAGGAAAACGAGAGTGTGTGTGGGTTGCAACGGACGCCAGGTTGACTGCCATGTGCACTCGTTTGTCCCAGGGCAGGGGATCCATGTCGGAGCCTGGTGGGAAGGAGGGATGGGGGCAAGCGGAGAAAAAAATAGAGGAAAAAAGAAGAAATAATATATGGAATCCGGAAAACCTCTGCCAGACAAATCAATAATAAGTCGCTAACGGTGTCACGTTTGAGAATTCTCAAAAGTCGCTTATGGTGCAGCCTGTCGTAGAGTGAGCCACGCGGGAGGAACTCAAACACCAGGATGCGCTCCGCGTGCATTGAGGTGTATGTTGAGGCGCCTCAAAATACACCTCAATCCGCGCGGGAGGAACTCAAACACTAGGATGCGCTTCGCCTTGCCGATGCAGTACCCCCTCAAGCTGACAGTGTGCAGGGTGCAGGCTACAGCACACACCCTGTGCACAACTAGCATTGTGCCGAGCTAGTAAACCACTCACGGTGCAGGCGGTCGAACAAGGAGCCGTGCGGCAGGAACTCAAACACCAGAATGCGCTCTGCCTTGCCGATGCAGTACCCCCGCAGCGACACGAGGTAGCGGTGGCGCGCCTTAGCGAGCAGCTGCACCTTCTCGCGGAACTGCGCTTCCGTCATCTCTGGTGAAGATGGTTGGGGGGAGGGGTAAGATGGGGACAGAAAAGCAAGAGGCGAGAGGCCAAGGGCGAGAGAGAGGAGGTGAGTACCCCCGCAGCGACACGAGGTAGCGGTGGCGCGCCTTTGCCAGCAGCTGCACCTTCTCCCGGAACTGGGCCTCCGTCATTTCTGAAGTGGGCAGGAGTGGGTGGGTGGGGATGGGAGTAAGGCAATGGGCAACAGATAGCCCCCTGGTAGCAGTGGCGAGCTTTGGCCAGCAGCTGCACCTTCTCGCGGAACTGCGCTTCAGTCATCTCTGGTAAAGGGGAGGGTGGGTGGAGAAGGGATAGGCATGCCGCAAGTGGGAGGGGGCAGTGTGAGAGGGGTGTGTTACTGCCGGAGTAACACCAGAAGCTGCACCTTCTCTCTGAACAGCTGCTTTAGTCATCTCCCCCCCCAACTTCAGGACAGCTATACCCGGAAGGGCAGTGCGCTCATGCACATGCGTTATGCATACCCCCTCCTCACATCGCCCCATCCCATGCCCTGTTTTGAGGCGCCTCAAAACTAGACCTCTCCCGCAACCCCAACTTCAGGACAGCTATACCCGGAAGAGCAGTGCGCTCCTGCACATGCATTATGCATACCCCCTCCTCATATCGCCCCATCCCGTCCGCTGCCCACACACTCTCAGGCTCGTGGGCGCGCTCGACAATGGCACGCGGCTCATTCGGTTAAGCCTTGAGATCTCTCAAATCCCACATCCATCCCCCCCACCACTCCATTCCACACACTCTCAGGCTCGTGGGCGCGCTCGACAATGGCACGCGGCTCAATCTGATCGGGAAGGAAGTCGTCAGCGAGATACACGGTGCCGAAGCTGCCCTTGCCACACACACCAACACCCATCCCATCCCACATCCCTCCCCCACTGCTGCCACTCACTCTCGGGCTCGTGGGCGCGCTCGACAATGGCGCGCGGCTCATAGGTTAAGCCTTGAGATCTCTCGAATCCCACATCCATCCCCCCCACCACTCCATTCCACACACTCTCAGGCTCGTGGGCGCGCTCGACAATGGCACGCGGCTCAATCTGGTCAGGAAGGAAGTCGTCAGCGAGATACACGGTGCCGAAGCTGCCCTTGCCACACACACCAACACCCATACAGACCCCCGCACTCACTCTCGGACTCGTGTGCGCTCGTTTCACGATGGCGTGCGGCTCAATCTGGTCAGGAAGGAAGTCGTCAGCGAGATACACAGTGCCAAAGCTGCCCTTGCCACACACACCAACACCCACCCGTGCCCAGTATCCCCACCCATGCCACTCACTCTCGGACTCGTGTGCGCTCGTTTCACGATGACGCGCGGCTCAATCTGGTCAGGAAGGAAGTCGTCAGCGAGATACACAGTGCCAAAGCTGCCCTTGCCACACACACAAACACCCACCCGTGCCCAGTATCCCCACCCATGCCACTCACTCTCGGACTCGTGTGCGCTCGTTTCACGATGACGCGCGGCTCAATCTGGTCAGGAAGGAAGTCGTCAGCGAGATACACAGTGCCAAAGCTGCCCTTGCCACACACACAAACACCCACCCGTGCCCAGTATCCCCACCCATGCCACTCACTCTCGGACTCGTGTGCGCTCGTTTCACGATGACGCGCGGCTCAATCTGGTCAGGAAGGAAGTCGTCAGCGAGATACACAGTGCCAAAGCTGCCCTTGCCACACACACCAACACCCACCCGTG